TCTCTCTCTCTCTCTAATCTCTATATATAGATAGATATATCTTGGATCTGATGCTGACCGAGGGCAGGACGCAACGATATTATTACAGTCATATACTGAGATGAATGATGATGATACAGGTGTACACTGTATAGCAGCACCCTCGTGAGGAGCAGCAGCTGAACTACAGTAGGCTGCTGACCTTTGACCTCCCAGCCAGAGCAGACAGGTCTGAATCACAAGCTGCTGCAGCCCCCAGCCACCTGGAAAATAATAATAGTAGCAGTAGTTATGGTAATACCAGCAGTAAAATCAGGGTTCCTACAGGTTTCATCAACTTAAATTTGAGACTTTCTAAAACCTTTTTGATCAGTTTGAACACAGTTCACATCTCACATCTATTTCACATCTGACAAAAAAAGTCTGACAGCTATGAAGAACGTTGAACATTCACGATTGCGTGACTAAATTACTTTGCAGTGAATTCCTGGACTCTGTCACGCTGCTGCACTGGACTTCTTTGGGAGATCCAGATGAGAGCTCGTGTGTGAGCAGCGACAGGGCGCCATGTGACCCACACACAAAGCAGGATCATGTCTCTGCAGGTAAAAATAGCATGTCACACACACACAGAGTGAGGTCACAGCCGTGTGTGTTTCAGAAAACAAGCTGGTGAACGTGAACAGCCTGCAGGATGCAAACAGGTAGGAACACAGATCTATGTTTTTATCACAGGCTGGCTTGGGTTTGTCGAACGAGTCGCTTTGACTCCACAGGCAGATGCTGGAAAGTACAGTTACTCAGACACAGTACAATCTGAAGTAACTTGCACATTACTTGCTTCTTTATGCCATTTTCTATTTCTACTGCAGTACTGTCAGGGGGAGGTACTGTACGTGTTACTGCAGTACAAGTATCTAAACTTTGCAGGTTACGATCTGACATGAAAAGCACAACTTATGTTCTGCATCAGGCCAGGTCCTCCCTGACTCTGAACAAAGGTCATTTGTCCTCTAAACATCACACACGGTTTCATTTTACAACCTGTGGAAATGAAGACTGTGAACAGAGAAAAGTCCAGAAGCAGAAAACAGACTTGTTTTCTCAGTAAAATGCTGCAGACACGCCGATGCCTCCGTGTTTATATCTAATAATACCAGACAGAATCAGGTATCAGTCACAGGAGACATTTTACTTTTACCACTGGTACATGGAACGTACTTTGCTGATACACCACAGAAAGCCAGTTTAATATTTTATTATGGATGAATATTGTGATGCTAATACTTTTACTTAACATCTGAAGGCAGGATGTTTATATGCAACAGAGTAATACTGTCATATTAGTACTTGTTCTCAAGTTAAGTATCCGAGTACTTTGTCCACTACTGTTTTTGGGATCCCCTGTAATTGGAACACTGTTTTAGGACAGAATTTAAAGTACAACCCTAAAGTGTACATTTATTAGTACCAAGGACCAAAAGTTACAGCAGCTTATATAAATACTCATTCGGCAAACTGCACCGTGTACTGTGTGTTCTACGTTTCTCTAACTGACCATCTGCTTCGTCGGTGCCAAATTACATATCAACACAAACAGGCTGCTTCATTTAAACCAAGGGGCTGGAACTCATCAAATACTCATTAAGTAGAGTGGTGTATTACTGTGATCTTACTGTGTACATCACACTGGGAGTAGAGTAGCAGTATGTGGTCATAAACCAAAGTACTGGGCATGTGACCCGTGGACCTAGTGCCAGACAAACAGCCAGAGGATCAACCAGTTCATCCTGACGGGAACATGAATGTCTGAACCGGCTCTCCCCTCAGCTGACCCAGCAGTCGTTCAGATGTTTCACTGAATAAGTGACCATTTGAACTTTTGGTGGCGCTGGTGACCACCAGGGTCAGCAGGGTTCATCCTCTGAGGACCGTGAGGGTCTGAACCACATCATCATAATCTATTCAGCAGCTGCTGCCATGCTTCAGTCTGGACCACAGTGACTGTCTGACTTACATTAACCACTAACACAGTGTCCTCCTCAGATAATGGCAGCGGTCTCACCCTCCTCTTCCCCTCATTTCCAGCAGTAGACATGGGTCTGGAGAGAAAGGTGGACATCCCAATCTACGATCTGTCTCTGATCAGGGGACTCTGGGAGGTGAGAGTGAAGAAATACAGGCAGAGACAGAAGAAGGAGCAGCAGAGGATCGAGAAGAGTGCCCTCGCCAGGTGAGATGACGAGCACTGACAGCTCCGCGTGCATCATCACAGGCTAAATGTTTTTCTGATAAACCTCTGCATTACGAGCTGGTGAGAGGCTCCTGAACGCACCGTTAGTCTGACCTGTATGAGGCTCCGGGTCAGGCTCCCTGTAGGACCACCGCGGCCCTCTGACCAAAACATTCCCACATTAAACATGGTTCTGCAATTTGGGAGTCAAGATATTACTCAGTGACGCTGAACTGGCTCCAGTAGCCTCAACGTCTTCGGCCATTTGTTTCCACGAGAGATTAAGGTCTGTCTTTTACTCAGGTCACTGGTGGCTGTGTAGGAAGCGTTGCTTCTTTAAGAAGATCAGCATGCTAACAAGCTAGCTGACTGTGTCTCTGGTGCACAGACGAAGTGGGAAGTTGCCTGTGCTGCTGTCTAGCACAACTCTGTCTGAACATTTAGCAAATAGCTGAAATCACTTGTGAAACAACATGTGGAAGTCAGTAGGTCAGCAGGGAAGGGTGGCAGCAGCAGTCAGTGAGCCAGTGTTCGGCCCCAGGCAGCACCGCCTGCTCCTAATGTTTAAGGTCCTGGCCCCAAGAAGAGAAGGCGGCGCAGACTGTAACCTGTGACTTCGGGCTTCCAACCAGCCCCAGTGCAAACCGCACCCCGTCCACTTTATAAACAGGATATTGCTAAATATAATTTTCAGCGTGGAGAGAATATTTAAGCTGCTACAACCAATGTTTTTATATTAATAGTAAGTCAGTGTTGAAACTCTGCAGCTCTATGGAGGTTTCAGCCTCCTTTGGTTTTGTGGTACATTTCCTGTGGGGTTCGGTTTCAGCTGTCACTACCTGCTCAGCAGCAGCGGGAGAACCAGACGGAGCCGGTTCTAGACTTGTCAACATCAGGTGGACACAAACAGAACCCAGATTGGTAGCTGCTTGATGTGGAAGCCGGCAGCTGCCGTTTAATCAGCAACAAGCACTTTGTAAAGTTGTGTCAGACGTATTTACAGCTTGTACTGAGTTCACTCCACTGATCGGCAGTGAGCAAACTTCATAGAATCAAAGCATTTATCCTGTGAGTCGGACACAAACACATAGCTGAGTGATGTTAGTCATGAGTATAAGAGTCCATGAACACATGCTGGGATATAAATAGCAGTGCATCAGTGCGGTGATGGCACATGATAAACACGACTGGGCTGCAGAAAGGTCATGACTTTGGATGGGCTGGATAATGAATGGAAACATCCAGGCTGCTGAAACGTGAGCCAACATCAGGGTGACGCTGCACATAGCTCACTGATGTGTCTGTGTGTGTGTAGGATCGACCAGGAGTGGCAGTACCGCATCTACTGCAAGACACTGAAGGCTGATGAGCGGAACCTGCTGCACCATTACCTGGAAAGATCTAGACTGATACACACTACACAGCCGCACACAGGTAAACATGACCGACAGATGACTACAGCAGCACACAGACTAAATCCACCATCCACAGCTATTCTAATTCCTCACTCACTGTTAATACCATGTTGTGTATCTGTATCCAGAGGCGACACATTGTTGTGTATTTGTTGATAATGTGTTGGTGTGTATCTGTATTTGCTGATGTTGCCATTTACCTGCCAGATGCAGACCAACAGCAGGATGAGAAAGCCCAGGGTCTTGGTCCCCTCCCTGACCGAAGCCCTTCTGACCTGGATCAGAAGGATTCAGATGAGAGCAGGCTGATCTTCCAGCTGGATGGAGATCGTTGGCTGGTAAGAGAACGGGTTCAGGACGAGTTACTGCACATGTTCTGTAATGTTCACCTGTAAAAAAACAAAACAAAACAAAACCTGGTAACGCATGAATATTCGTTCACCTGTAAAAAAAAACAAACAAAACCTGGTAACGCATGAATATTTTCCAGGACTTCCCCAGGGAGCTGCAGTGGATGACCTATCTGAAGGAGTGGCATGTCAGCGGGACACGGATCTGTCGGCTGCCGGACTACCTGGCTCGGTTCACCCAGCTCACTGTGCTGGAGATCCCCAAAAACACCATCGCTGAGCTGCCACCTGCGATTGGTGAGGCTGAAAAGCAAGATTAGGAATGTTTCAGCATTATATCCTAAAACACCAACTTGAAACAGCTCGGATCACCACCTTGCACCAAACGACTGAGATGTGGGAGTGTGATAGGACTGTAGCAAGTCTGACTTTGGATGTTTGTCTGCCACATGAAATCACTTGAAAAGTCGTTAGGTGCGAGGATCCAGTGTCTCTTTACTCCCACCATCGTATTCCTTCGCTGGCCATGTGCTGTTGTGACACTGACCTTAACCTTTAGCTGTCAGGCCTCCACATGCAGGCTATGGAGGACACTGTCAGTTTTGTTAGTGCAGCTCATGAATGACGGTCTCAAACCAGCGTCTCTTGTCTCCTCAGGTAAACTGACAGAGCTGAGGGAGTTGAACGTCAGCTACAACCGCCTGTCCCAAGTTCCCCCAGAGCTTGGAAAGTGTGAGAAGCTGGAGAGGCTCGAACTCGCAGGGAACTACAACCTGTCCCAATTGCCCTTTGAGGTGAGACAGACAAAGAGAGGAACCATGTGCTTTAATTGTAGGCCATCAGATGTCTGTTTGTGGACGACGGACCCTCCAAATTTAAAAATAGTCAACTTATTAAAGTTGTACAACTTAAATAACAGTGAATTCTTAATTGTTACTGCTCTAACATGTTTCAGTGGAGCTGAGACACAGTTGGTTGCTTCATTAGGTGAATCACAAAAGACAAATCAGTCAAGGACACCCGATCAATCACATCTCGGATTTGAACATCTGCAGGTTCTTTTTGCCTTCTGTATTTTCTCTTGATTGATTAGTGAAAAACGTCCACTATAGTTTTGACGAGTGACGTCTTCGGCCAAAACCAAAAGACACTCAGTTTACTATCAAGTAAGATGAGAAGAAGTCTCTCAGTGCAGAAGCTGGAAACAATAATCATTTGGCTTTTTTTTTCTTAAAAATTAAATGGTTATCAGTCGACAGTTTTCTGTCCCTCCTGTGTGTGCAGCTAAGTGGCCTGAAGCGCCTGGTCCACCTGGACATTGCGGAGAACAGGTTTGTGTCGATCCCCATCTGCGCCCTGAGGATGAGCAGCCTGCAGCTGTTAGACCTGAGCAACAACAGTCTGAGCGACCTGCCGCAGGACATGGACAGGTAACCGATGACTGATCAGCTAGCTTCCCATTTAGAATCAGACCAGTAACGTGTGTAGAAAGTGAAGGGCTCTGAATATGCCCTGGAGCCCCTGGTGAGGGGGGCTGCGCCTCGCTCCCTTTGCAAAATGCCAACATCTAAGTTTTTCTACTGGACTTTGAGCATTTGTGTGTCAGAATTAAAATGTTTCCAGTTCATCTTTGCATTCTGCAGATATTTGCTTTGTAACAATTAAGCTGAGAATATTTGAGATACCCTGGCTCAGAGTACTGCCACTTTCATACTACTGGGGCAGATTGTGGGGCACCGGGGAGGTCGCGGTTCACTGTGGAGCCGTTACCCTGCCGAGCTGTGAGCTGGAACTTCATACATGTTGTGTGCAACCGTAGGACAGACTCTGGAGCAGACAGATGTTAGACAATGGACACAGTAACTAAATTCTGCATGTGCCTCCCTCAGGCTGGAGCAGCTGGTCACCCTGTTCGTCCACAAGAACAACCTGTCCTACCTCCCTCAGTGTCTCACCAACATCTCCACGCTTAAGATGGTCATCGTCAGCGGTGATGATCTCTACTGCATCCCAACCAAACTGTGCAGCAACCCGGAAATCAAGTACACATACCACAGTGACACGGCAGCTCTCTGGAATAATAGTCTAGTCATCAACACGGCACCAGGATCCCAGCAGCCTGAACACACACACACGAGTCCAGTGTGAAAATGTTAAGCACAAGAAAAGATTTAGCAGTTTATCCCAAAACTAAAGTGGAAGGCAAGATCTTATTTTTCTTTTGCAGCAGCTTTTGCATCACTAAAGAAAACTGTTGTGTAGACTTTTTAGGCAGAGATGGCAGCAGCAGAACAGTAACATATGACATTTATGATGTTTTTAAAACAACGCTGTTTATTGATTTGAATTCCTTTTATGTGGTTGTAAAGCTGGTTTAGACTCAGCGACTACATGCATCTTCTCTGTCTGCAGTGGTAATGACTTCAGCATTGGCTCTTTTCTCATAAAACCAAAACCAGTTGTCATCCAGTCAGCAGAGGCTGGAGCAGCTTCTGAAGGCTGACCGGTGGTGTAGTAGTACCACAGTGTAGAAATACATGTAGTGCAGTAAAAGTACACGGTTTGTCTCCGACATGTAGTGAAGTCACAGGATGAAGCAGCAGGACGTGGAAGTACAAGCACCTCAGAACTGTACTTAAGTAAATGCACTTAATTACTTTCCATGACTAACTATCACTTGTACTGTTCCTGGGCAGGTTCATTCGACTGTACGACAACCAAGCCAGCGCAGAGAAGAAGAAGAAAGAGGAGGAGAAGAAAAAAAACAAGAGGAGGAAATGGAGAGAGTGGAGAGAGGAGGAGGTGAAGAAGGACAGCCGAGAGAAGGAGTTCATCGAGGCGTACCTCAGCACGCTGAAGGACAGAGGTGCGACTGCAGAGGGAATCGGTTGTGATAATATTTAACAACTCAGTCACGAGCAGGACGGATGCAAATTCAAACATACAGTCAGAACTGGGGCCTGGTCGGACCCTGGTTTTTCTTGATTTACAGTCATAGAACTACAGTTAGATGCAAAACAAACACAGGCTCAGAATTACCACAGACTCAAACTGACTACTGACCATGGAGACACCACAGGGCGGCGGAGACACTGTAAAGACACGACCATAAAGACACACAAAACCACGACAAAGACACGAATGACTTACTGGAGCCCGAGCTACCGAAACGGCACAGAATGACATGCGTCACCTCATTTTTGTGTTTTCTATCTGGGTGCCCTGTATAGGAGGGGAGGGGTGGGGGGGCCTTTGCCTGTCTGCGCCCAGAGACTCATGTTCTCCTAATCCGTCCATGGCGGGACCGTGGGACTAGACTAGTTCTTCAGAGCCTGGTTCTGAGACACTGCTCTGAGATGTTAAGTCTATCAGCAGGGGTTTTAACTGGTGGTTTCATTTCTGGTCTGAACTGAACAGTCGATGATGAACTTCTCTGTCTCTCACCAGACACCGTCCCCTTCTCCACCACCAAGGTCTCCATCTCCTGCCTGCTGTGAGGAAGAGGATGATGAAGGTTGAGCTGACAGCGCTCCTTAGAGCAGTACTAGAAAAAGAAATGAACAGCAGAAGGGGGGGGGTCTCTGTGACAAAATTGTGTAAATAAATATTAATATGGAAGCTCATTTCTGTCAGGAAAGAAAACGTTTAAAGTTTTATAAACAAATTCTCATTGTCAGAGAAATTTAAATGTTTACTTCATTATGTCAAAATGTAAGAATCAGAGAAACAGACTTTCAGTACACGACTGTGGAATAGAGAGTCAATAATAATAACAATAATAATCAGAAGAATCATAAAGATAAAGAACATTCAGATGTCACATAGTAAAAATTACATATAGATCTTAACCTGATAAATCATCACGTCAGACCTTTGGATTTGATTTAAAGGTTAAACTTGAATTGGTTCCGTAGTTTCCTGGTGTGAACCAGCTCCCCAGAGTTTAGATCCGGTTAAAATAGACGTTTTGCTTTTGAGAATGTGTTTAATTAAAGCAGGTAACTGATTTCATAGGTCATGATGCTGCGTCAGGCTCCAAAATGATTATTAAAATAAGTTTTTCCAAAAGTGTTTCATTCCAAAAATCTAATTTCCAGCATTTAAACACACCAACCTCCATATGGTACCAAAAGTCGTACACACCCCCAAGCTCTGGAATACCCTGCCTCCTGAGCTTCGCTGTATAACCGGGTTAATGGGTTTTAAGTCTAAATTAAAGCACACTTATTCAGACTGGCTTTTGGCACTTAACTTATAGCAGTGGAGCTATAGAGGTGCCTACAGGCTGTCTGGTTTTATATTCCGTTTGTACTTTGACACATTTTTATTGTACAGGAGTTTTATAGTTACTTACAGACCGTGGTTTTAAATTTGTGTAATTTTAACTTTTCCTTTTTGTTAGTGTCGTAACATGTTCTTTTATTTTTTTTGTTGTAAAGCGCTATATAAATAAATTAAATTCATTATAAACCCCAGTGTTCACAAACAGTCCTTTGTTACTGAACTGATTGTTTTATAGACTTGTTTGCCAGTTTTTACACTTCCTGTTAAAGTTGATAAACTTGCTAACAAACCTCAATTTAAGATAAATACATTTATTTGTAAAAATCTAATTATGGATTCTGATTTATTTCTGCTCCAGTATGTGTAAGTACAAATTACTATTATTATACAGATCAGTTTCTTCACAACTAAAAAGTTAATTTTTGTATTTCTACTTGTTTAAAGGTTTGTGTGATGTGCGGGTGTCAGTTTTTATTTATGTTAATAAACCTTTGTGAAAATACAGCAGCTTCTTTTCTTCACACTGCCTGGTTATATTTAATAATCAACTTATCAATAACCACAAAAATCATTGAATATATACGCGTCAAAAACGACATTCAAGTTTCAAATGTATTACAGATTTTATTCTAAATGATCTTCAGATAAAACACGTGGACGTGATTCAGCGTCTTATCAGACCAACGTGGACGTGAACAGAGGCACACGGTCGGAGACTAAAGTGCGGTGAGCACTCGGCCTCGTGCACAGGTAGGAGGACTGCCTGTGCATCTCCTAGTTCAGCCAAAATGAAGGACTCTTCAGTAAATACAGGTGCCAGTGTACGAAAAGTGTCAGGAACCTTCGGTAACCTCTCTTCTCAATCAGTGCAGACGTTTCTCTTGCTCCTCAACACCGCATCTCCACCACTTAACGCTGAAATCTAAAGAAAGCTTGGCTTCGAACTTTGATACTCCAGCAGATACGATGTCTAATTGTCAAGAAAGCAAGTCTGTGAAGCTGAGAGAAAGTTTAAAGCTGCAGGGTTTGTAAACCGTGTGACAGATAGGTGAGAGGTCACACTTCAGTTTTATACCTTTAATGCAGATTATTACTAATTGCCAGAGACCTAACATCATAACAAAAAAAATTATCTATAAAACACTTTTAAAGGCACCTAGAAAGACACTTTAATGGACATGGACTTTTTAAGCTGAACATTTGCACTAGTTACTTTAATTTACACTTGAATTAAATACATTAAAATATGTGATTTAATTTAATAACCATATTAAATGTGAATTCCACTAAAGTCAGATGCTGCTCGTCTAAACTATGCTGGGTTTTCAGCCCCCTGTCCATTCAGGCTCCATGCACAGTGACACCGTTCTCAGCCTGTGGAGCTGTGTGGTGGAAACAGATGGGAGGAAACCTGGCCGCTAGTGCAGTGGAGTGGTTTGCTGGGGGACTAATAGGTGGTGGTCTACAGCACAGAGCGAAGAGCTGAGATGAACTGGACAGGGACCAAGAAAAACCGACCCCCTGATTAACTAACAAGATCATCAGGAAGGTCTGAGAAAAACTTTCAAATGGGATGTGAATGCAGCAGCAGCGTCAAGACCAGAGAGGTAGAGAGCTGAACTGAAGGAGGGACAAGGACACTAATCACTGTGCTGGACTCGGGGACGTTCAGTAGGAAGGTATACTGCAGACCCATGTCAGCAGTCAGGGAGACAAAGATTAAAGTCACTCTGAAGACTGTGGTCAGAAGACAGTGTACGAAGCTGACACACAGCTCAAGATTCAGAAATACAGAACTTCTGAGATGCTGTGGAGGCCCCCCTCCCCACCCCCCTGTGTTAAAGGACATATCTGCTGTGGCTGTAACATGATTGTGCTTCATGAAGCTACACACTATCATCTTCCTCATCATCAGGACATTCAGGTGTCTGCGGCGGTGCAGACATTCATGCTGGAGGAAACCAGACTGTTTGCTACACACAGGGCTAGATTCCAGTTCCACTAACTGCATCACATTTCGCTCAGCTGTCTTTTCCTTCTGCTTTAGTCCTGCCCATGTAGGATGCAAGGAAAAGATGCCAGGAGAAAGGAACGAGGAAACGCCTTTCCCTCTGATACTTCATGTGACTCTTCCAATCACAAACTGATTCCAGATAAAGGGGTGTGTCAGTCCATAACATTTCTGTGATTACAGTTTCTCCAGGCAGCCTTCTCGCCCCTCGGAGAGGACATAGGAGCTCTGGGACATCTCTCCTCACAGCAGACCAAACTGAGGAACTGGGATTCACCTTAACTGACATCACCCAACATGGAGACCATCACATTTATGGTTCCTTCCTTTCATTGCCGAGATGTAAACAGCCACCAGGAGGCAGCCTGGAGCCAACGTCTCCTATCAGAAGCTCATATTTCCCAAATATTAGATGTGGTTTGAATGCAGCGTGTGTTTACATTTACAATAACGTGGACATGTGAAGATAAATCAAGTCCTGTGGTGGCGTGGCCTTAAAGTAACAGACAGAATATCAATAATATATTTAATTGAACATGGAATTTTTAAAGCTATTCAACAGCAACACAGAGATAGTTCTCCAGACTCAGGTGATGCTTTCAGACACTAAGGTGGGAAAATGATGCAGGTTTTAGCTGAGCAGCAACACATCCCATATACCATCCATCCCCGCTGGATTGCTCTGTTGGAATGTGGTGGCTTGACATATGGTTAAAAAAGGCTAAAGTAACGGAAACAAACAAAGCCCTGTGGCACGATTTGGTTCGCAACAACATGCCGATTCTGAAAGTCGGACTGATGTCTGTAGTTATGGTTTAAACTCAAACTAAAGACGACAAGAACGGAGTGTCCGCTACCCATCTGGTCAGACCACTGGGCCTGGACTGGAAATACTTGTTCAAACAACATCAGTAACTTGGAGCACTTGATTTGGCCAGCCTGCTGTGGCAGGCAGGTGGAGCACCTTCAGATCAAACAGCCTGAAAATAACAGACAGGCTCAATACACTAAGTATTTAAACACAAGAAGAAGAAATGAGGAAACACTGGTGTGTCAGATACTGAGAACAATGTGGTGAGGAAAAATAAAAACTTAAAAGGCTGGGAGGCGTCATGGAGGGAAAAAATAATTCATGCTCAAGTGAATAAATGGTGCTCTCGACTGACCTGATTTAGTAATTACCTAGCCCTTATTACAAAATGAAGTTATCTACTTACTAAACTATGATCTCAAATAACAGCCCAAAGCACTAAATCAGTCAGATTTACTGAAAGTAGAGTCTGAGTATATAAACTGAGAATCTGAATTACCAGTTATAGAGCTCTTACATGGAGTTAACAGAGCAGGAACCATCACGTCCTGAGCACCAGCTACCAAATCTGAAACCTGAATTAGTTGTTTTCCGTCCACGACACCACGTGGCCTCCATACAAAGCACTTTAAAATATTTCATTTCTTAAATATATCGTTATTTGTGACCAGATGCTGCTGAAACACCCAGCAGGAAGTCATAGCTTGCACGTGCTTGGTGTGAGTCAGTTGCCATAGTAACAGTCATCCATGAGTCCTGTTGTCTGCAATTTAGGGAGCCCAGCTCTGTAAACGACATGTAAACCACAGTGGCAAGCAAAAACAAGCACACCTGGACCTAGAGTGCACACTGCCTCCTCTAGGTGATGACTCACCTCCATGACTGGCATATCCCACAATCCCCAGCACCTCACAGTCCTCTCCACGTGTCTCTGCCCAGGTGAAAATCTTGAGTTTTCAAACAAACAGTCTGTGATTTGGGACACTTGGTCCCAGCTGTGCAGTGAATTCAATGCACCTCCACCTCACCACTCCGCCTGTAGAGAGAGGAGTGTCTGTTCTCTTGAACCTTGCAGGCCTGACGGGTGGAGTCAGGTGCAGCAGACAGAGCAGGCAAACCTGCTGCAGAGGGTTTAGGCAGCAACCACACTGACTGAAACAAAACCACTTCTGACGGTTTTGCTTGACAAATGAAGGATTAATTGATGACCACAATACTGTTCAGCCCTCAGTCTTACATCGTCACCAGTGAAAACAGAGGAAACCCAGTGAACGTTTGCTGTCAGAGTGCTAACAAGAGAACGACAGCTCAACCGACAAGTCAAGTTCCATCTAACCCAAAACCGGCCTTAAGGTGGGAAAATACAAACAAGCAAGTAATTTCCAAATAGTAAGTCTTCTCAGTTAGTGATAAGAAATGTGACCCCACATGGACAGAAAAGTGAGAAGCTCTGGTTATTTAATGGTTTGAACGCTTTAGGTTCATCTGCTTTCTCTTGTTTCCAACTTGGTGACTAAGCCACTAGGCTCTAAACACTCACCTGGGTTGGCAGCTAAAATGGTTTTATGTGCATGAGGCAGATCCTAATCAACATGGGAACAGGGGTGTTACATTACTGATATAAATGTTGTTGCACAAAACTTGGTTACTCTGTTTTTTTTCCTAACGCTGGTGCATGAAAAACCAACAGACACAAAAACAATGACAGGAAAAAGCTGCAATTTAAAAACAGAGCCACGGCGCCTGCAAGAAGCCGTTTTACTTTCTAGGTCTGAAAGCTGATTTTCACTGAATAAAAACCAGATTTGATTTAAAATCTTTCATTTTAAAAGGCAGTTTGAAGCTAGGTCTACATTTTAAACCAATTTAAATCTGTAAGAGCAAAACAGTTAAATTGTGCAAACGTACGGCAGCTGGGTAGACCTCACCTGTCATGTAAAGAACAGTCAGTGTGTTTGCCGCCTAACATCACCCGACTCTTTATCTGAACAGTCTGGACCTGAAAACACTTTAATAAAAAATAAAAAAAAAAAAGCCACAACAACTGTAACCGGTTCATTTGGAGGGGGTGGGACTCGCAGGGCAGAGCTCAGACCTCAGTGCTGTGATTGGCCAGGCTGGCTGTCAGTCATATGCTGCTGTCTTGTAGGAGAGGCTCAATGTCCTCCGCGTTGCTAGTGGGTGTGCCCATAGAGCCAGTCTGAGCATGTGCAGTGGAGGAACTACTGGATTTGTGGGTGGAGCAAGTCTTAACCTCAGCCAGTTGGTGGTGCTTGGGGATGAAGATGGCGACGAGGAGAGCTAATATGACGGCACATGCTCCAAACAGGAAGGGAGGACCAGGGATGACCGACTTCTACAGAGACAGAAGTTAGACATTATGTAAACATTTGAAAGACCTTTCATTTGAAAGCCAGTCATTTCCAAAACATGCCATGAAGCAGCTCAACTAAAACCAGACAAGTGACCGACTGGTGTTGAAACAGGCTGTAAACCAGGGGTGCCCAATACGTCGATCGCAAAGGTAGTGTTGGTAGATCGCGTGCCATTCAAAAATAAATTAGATGTATCCGGCGTAAAACACGTGCCAAATGTTAACATGCAAATGGTCAGTGTGACGATTCGCTGTGGCGACCCCTAACAGGAAAAGCAGGAAGTGACAATCATTCATATATAGCCTATCATCCATCCTCCCTATGGCATTTGCTACTTGACTGACATGCAGGGCAGCCAGTATGAGATCTTGTCTTTTCTGACACACAAGTCATCCAGCACAGAGTCAACCACACGACCTACTGCAAAACTCCAGTGAGTGAACTAACTTGTCAGCCTTGGAATTAATTTCTACTAAAGGGTATAAAATGGGGGGGAATCAAGTAGGAAACCGAAAACATACCAAAAACATTCAATGGGAGGAGGGCTTTTTTGTGATGTTATATTTGAAATGCATTTGCTTGATCTACCAATCTACCATCACTATTCCAAAGAAGGGAAATGTGGAGTGGCGCTTTCAGACTGTTCATAAAAACTACGACACTCATTCATACATATATATTGTGTGCGCGCGCACGCGCACATAGTATTTTTAGTGTAGGTCGATCATTTTGACTTGGTCATTTGAAAAGTAGCTCGCAAGGCGAAAAAGCATGGGCACCCCTCAGAGTGCGCCTCACCGCAGTCAGAGCGTCTCACCTTCTCACCAGGCACAGAAAACATGAGCTGTCAAACAAAGGTAGGCGGAAGGGTGCAACATACAACACCGTCTCCAGCTGGAAATGAACCTTGGACCTTGTGATTATGTGGCGTGTGCTGTAACTGTTCAGTGGCGAGGGCGCTCTGGGCTGTACTGTCTGTGCCCGAGCCTGTGTGTACCTTTGTGTTCTGTGTGCGTCTCCCTGCCACCAGCTCCATGTCGTTCAGCTCCACATTGAAGAGGAAGAAGATGAAGCCGTACAGAGCTGGACCCAAACCGTTACACAGCCCTCTGATACCTGTGATCATCCCCTGAACAACACCTGTGCACACAGACACACAGCAGTTCATTCCCGTTCCTTCTCCGCTATGTCCCTTCCTTCAGACAGAGAGGCGTGCTCACCTTGCTGATCAGGTGATGCACTGTGTGACACCAGAGTAGAGACTGCTGGAAAGGTGATGGACGACATGGCTGCTACTGTTCCTGCTGCCCACATCATCCTGAAAGGATACGAGTAAAACACTGAATCTGTAATCTGTGAGTGTGAGCCTCCAGACACACAATCCTGCTCTAAACAGACATATGGAGAGCGCCAACAGAGCAGAGGCAGGTTCTTAGCCTGTGGAGCTGTGTGTTGGAAACAAACGCCTCCCGTGTTCCCTGAGGTAGCAGTGTGTTTCATGAGGGGGGGCACAGACCAACAAGCTGGACAAGGGTCTGGACTCACACACATTACGGTGAGGACACCACACTCACTGGTGCCGCTGGTCTCTGGATGGGGTTGTGGGAGGTAACACATAGAATCACCTGCTGTGTCCTCTAAATTTTTGTCATGAAAAAAATTAGGTTTCATAGATATTTTGTTTTAATAGAAATACTATGATCAGACCCAAATTATTATTCCAAGGTGACTATTTTTATGCATGCCTAGATACAGTATGTCTTTAAAATGTCAGTGTAAAGCCGACGCTGATGATGACACACTTTGAACGGACTCACCACGGCTCGGAGCCGAAGCCGTACCAGGCCAGCTGCAGCAGCTGAAAGCCCAGACCGAGAAGGACCGTGTTCTTATTACCAATGGTCCTCATAAGAACACTGAGGAAGAGAGTCTGACAGAAAACACAGCGAGAGGTCATGATGTCAGTAACGTCTGATGAATGAAATGATGAAATACACAAGTCACAACCTCAGCAACACAGCATCAACATTATTTGGATAGTTAGTTAATAAAAAAGAAAAAGGTTTTCTGGAACTACAGGTAAAATATAGACTACCCCACACGGTAGTGCCATGTCACGTGTTACAACGTTCTCTAGGAATATTACACATGCACGGACCGCAGTGACATGCACACCCACAGGCAGACAGACACTGGCAGCCTTAAATATAAAAAAGAAATGCTAATGGAAAGACTTGGAAATAAAATGATAAGATTGTGACCCGCAGGTCAACAAATCCACCAAGACGGTACTAGCTGGTGTTGGGTAAAATTAAACGGTATTGTTTGGTAGGGATTCAGATAAATGGAACCCAGAGCTCTGTAAACTGCTTTATTCGAAGGTCCATTCAGTTATGATAATAAATGTTTGAAAGGTGATATTTGACTTCGATTATTCTTCATAAAAGAACACGCTGCACTGGCTGGTTCTGTACCTGAGCCACTATAGAGAGGACTCCCACCATGGCGATGAAGGCAGTGATGGCCACGTGAGAAAATTCAATCACCTGAAACACAGACAGATGAGCAGTGAGCAGATATAAGCTGCTGAGAATGACAAACTGCCGCACTCAACAAAACAACACAAACACTCCGTGTTTCATCATACTGTGAAGGAAACATCGCGAACATTTACATTAAAGCCTCTCTACCTAACTCTCCAACAGTGAGACTCAACACAAACCGTCTCCATAAACCGCTCCTTCCTGCTCTCTGCCCCTCCCATTACGTCCTGTTTCCTGAAGCAACGATGTGAACTACGGATGCCCGGTTGAGACAAACTGTACAAAACACAGGCTCCAGTCTGAAGCTAACACTAGCTGGCTATCAGTAAATGTGTCAGTCCATTAGAACGCTCTCCAACACAGCTCATAACCCTCTCCATGTCAAACAGCCAAACCTATGTTAACCCTGGTTGTTGCTCTTTCTTTGTCCCACTCTCTCTGTGCTGAAGACACCACCTCTTCACTCTGGCAGCCGCTGGGTCAGACTTTTAGCCCAGAGCTCCTCCATGGCTGTTTGACATGACTACTGGCTGGAAAAACCCTTCTTCTAACCTTGGCTAGGCGGCAGGTGGGGCTGATTTACAGACCGTACTTTGACAACACAGGGTGGAGAAGCTGGAATAACAACAGGAGGCTGTAGGCAGCAGAGGGTCATGGAGGGGGGTGTAGCTGAGAGAAATGTGGAGGCTTGTTTTCACAACTTGATCACAATTTTTATTAAACCTGCAAGAACTAATAAGGGGCTAGGAAATGCATGTGTGTGAGTGTGTCTCACCTGTCTCAGGTAGAGGAAGAAGCTGGAGTACTGTCCGGCCTCAGGCAGGTAGGACAGGAACACTGTGACACAGATCAGTAGCACTGTGCTGTCTTTCCCAACATGACGCAGAGACTGAACACACAAAACAACCAGCTATCAGTGCAACTGTCACTCAGTCAGTCAGCTGACATTTGGCAGATGCCAGCACAGAGAACCTGTGAGATCAGTGCTGCTCTGATGGGACCAGCCACTGTCAGGGCTTTGCCATCCTACAGATGTATTTTATCACTGAGCTCAGGACGGTGTTCAGCAAGACAACTGCACAAAGTACATCAAGAAAAATGCTCCATGCTCTTGTTCAGCTGACAGGGTTAGGGGTAGTTTATAGTATATTGTAGTTATACACCTGTATAAGGGCTTTTTAAACATTAATAAACAGTGGAGCTAAATTACAGCACATTAACCACTGATTACATCTGACTGTGCTGCTAATAACTGCTAAATAGGAGGATTTAAGGTAAACTCTCATCTTTATTTATAATTAGCACAAGCCATGTGTTGATCATATTTTGTGTCACCGATCTGAAGTAGAGTGATGCCTGACACATAGAAAACCAGGTAGTGAACTGCCAGATGTTAAATCCACAGTATTGATATACAGTGGTCCCTCGCTATAACGCGGTTCACCTTTCACGGCCTCGCAGTTTCGCGGATTTTTTTAGTGCAACTTTGCATGCCGTGTCTCCTGTACAGTACAGAATGCGTTCAGCTTGCCAAATTGACATAAATCTTCAATCGCTAGCAGTGTGACTCTGAAGTGCTGTACTGTATGTTTGCAAATTTTCTCCCCAACAAACCCCACAATGTCGACGAAACGTTCTGCACCGTCACAAAGGTTTGAACTTTGAGAGTGTTTAAACAAGAGAGAAAAGTGTGAAAATGTTAATGCCTGTCTGAGAAAAGTGTATAAAGTGTGTAGTGAGGGGTTTTACAGCCTCGAAACATCTATAATAATTAAAAATAAAGCTGACTACTTCGCGGATTTCGTCTATTGCGGGTTATTTTTAGAACGTAACTCCCGTGATTAACGAGGGACCACTGTAATGTTAACAAGACTCGGACTTGTGTACCAGAAAGCATCGCGGAAGGTGTGCTCATACACACAGCACGGACACTAATGTTTTTGCCTACTGGACCTGCAGAGTGATGCAGGGCCAGCCCTGACCTTTGACCTCTGCCACTATGCTGTCACACTGTGGTGAACTCACAGCGAAGGGGTCGGCCTGCTTCCAGGAGATGGGGAAGCCCCAGGATGTCAGTCTCATCTTGTCCGGCAGCGACTCGGGGACAATGAAAAACACAAAGGCGATGTCGGCCACGGCAATCACCGTGGCAACCAGGACCACCAGGCTGTCTCCGTAATGCGCCGACAAATAGTCCCCGATGGCCGGGCTCGTCACCAGACTGGCCGCGAAGGTCGCCGAGACCTGAGGACACACAGAGGGAGGTGAAGGCAAGTGGGGCGGAGGCTCGACAGCTGTTCATCAGATTTAAATCAAGAACTTCACCCGAGTCCAAGCTGGTTTGGTTTTGTAGTTTTATTACATAAACACGAACCAATGAAAGAACAGCACAGAACCAACACAGCGCAGGATGTACTACTGTCACTGCCCCAGAAAGTAAAACCATGTCAACACTAAAATATGCAGCTTAACCTGAACATGATCAATAATTTTTTGGACCTCTGAAGGAGCCCACAGGCAGTGAAGAAGATGATATTCTCTTATGGACTACTCTACCTGCTGCTTTGGCAGGTTTTGGTGTCTGTCACTCGAAATGAGAAAGACTTCATCCTAAACCAGCTCCTAACAATCAAACTGGGACAAAAATCTTTCCTCAGTTTTAAATCCTAGTCACGTCTTGGCTATTGGTCTACCACACGCATAAACATAAACCACACACACAACTCAAGGAGTCCACTTTCTTCAGCTTCCTGTCCTGCCTCTGACCCTGATCCACAATAAAGGCCGGAAACGCCATGACACAGCTCTGCGAGTACAGGACCTCCATTATACAATATGCTATTACAGTAAACACGTGGTCTGCGGTGCTGCTCCATTATGGCTATAACATCATTATACAACGCTCAGCAGGTGTCAGACCTGGGAGCCGCCTCAGCACCAGCTCTGACTGTGTTGTTGAAAGCCTGTGTTGTTCAATTCTTTCATTTTGGTCTTAATGACAACAAAACAAAAAGCAGCAACAGAAAACAAGAACTATGATGAAATGTTTGTCATTTTTCATCAACAAATAAAAACTAAAAAATGTGAAAGACGACAAACGGACATCAAGTAATGACGTCTTAATGCAAAGTTAGACCTGCAGTGCGTGGACGCTCAGACCACAGCTCCTGAAACCAAACCTCTCCTGATCAGATGCTGATTTAGCTGTTTGACCTGCTGCACTGCCGTTAACAAGAAGCATCTTACACTCAGTATCGTTCTGTCTCTGTCAGCTGACGTTGGTGCTTCTTGGAAGAAACAGGTTTATGAGCTAGATCCATCTACAGTACACTGAGAATCTGACCAGAGGACAAACAGCTGAGAAACACGAGGAAAATGCAGCAGCCGACATTTATGAACAGGTCGGATCACCGAACAGGAAGTGCTGTGGATGCGATGTTAACGTTGCTGTCAGATATCACTCAGTCAGCTCCAGGATGACTGTGGGCAGTCGACCATCTAAACCTTCCTCTGGATGTCGGCTAAACAACCCCCACTGTGTTCATGCTCTCCCTCGGTTTAGCGTCTCGTCTCAGGCTGCTCTCAGTGAACTGGGTTTTAGTCCGAATGGGACTGAATCAGCTGCTGCAGAGCAACAGCTGTAACCATAGTAACTACATATGACAAAGATGGAGACAGCTGTAACCACGGTAACTGCACATGACAGTTGGAGGAAGATGTAAATATTAAAAATGCAAGAAAAATATCACTGACAAGAACTGGACTAAAACTCTGTTTAACTGATTTGTGACTGAGCTAAAGCCACTTCCAACAGAAGCGACTAACAAACAGCTGTTCTCACCAATCCATAGGCCGTGCTCCTCTCGTGCTCCTCTGTAATGTCGGCGACGTAGGCAAAGATCACTGAGAAGGTGACAGCGAAGATCCCTGAGACTGAGATCAGTGCGAAATACCACCTGCACACAGACAGCAAACAACAGGTCAGACTGTACACACTCTAACACAAGACATAATCTTAAAGTCAGGCTCAATCTGCAGAATGCTCCAAATGAACATTTCAGCTGCTGGGACACACCATGTCTCAGGAGAAGACAGAGGGTTCAGGCCTGTATGACGCTGACAAAGTTTAATCTGGAGGTTGTAATGGCTGTGACGTTATTTGACTTACTACTTGTCAAAGCGCTGGGGTGATGACTGATGGTTTCTAGAAAGTATGAAAGTTGTTCAGTTTCTAATTTCTAGTTAACCTGTCTCTGCTGTCCTCAGTCTGGGCAACACACCTTAAAATAGTGTTGACAGAAAAATCTGTCTCCAGGTCCATTTTCAAATCTGACTGTTTTTCAAAGAGCTGGCTGAATCGGTGTGTTTCTTTGTGCTCCAGAGCCCTGAGAGGGAAACTCAGAGGGATTCAACACTCCACTTCTGCTCATGTTTCAGGGTAGATTTATTAGAAATACATGCAGACACCTTCCATCAGACATGGACAGCGTCGAGCTGAGTTGCGCTGACTGACACCGCCTGTAGAGGAGAGTGGGTTTTTATGCAGCGGCTGGTTTCTGGTTAACATTTGCTGTGTCACGGCTGTTCTTCACTCTGCAGTATACTGACCCTCACATGAACAACATGTGACTGTTCAGCTCCACCAGGGCTCAAAGAGCAGCACCTCAGTCACCAACAACTCCTCTGATGTGAGGAGACTTCTCTGTCACAGTGAAGTGAATGTCTTTGGGTTTCTGGACAAAACAAGATGTCCAAAGGCTCCACTTTCAACTCTGACCTTAGAAGAGCATTATCTTATGGACATTTTCTAGGTTAAAGTTTAACTAATAAACAGTGGTTATTTCACAACAATACCACACCGCAGAATCACGGTGTCAGAAGAGAAGAGCTGTAACATGGTGTTTGCACCGTTACCTAATCTGATGTGACATCAGCGGATCAGTTTAAATTATTTCCAAGAACAATCTGACTTCAGCAGAACTCTGACGAAGCATGGCCTGCTGTCTGGTACACTAACAGTTCCACAGTAAGCTGAGGAAACTGCAAACAACAGTGGCTCTTGTGTTAAAGCAGGATTTTCTTTAATGTCAGGCGGCGCTCTCAGCTGTTTGCAGCTGTGGAGATGCAGCCTAGCTGCAGTGGTGGAGCAAGCATCTTGGACTACATGTAGTAATAGTAGTGTAAAGCCCTCTGTCAAAAGGAACGCTCATAGGTGCCTTAGTATTAGCATCTAAATATATTTAAAGTACCAGAGGTACCCAAACAACCGAAGGGTGCCCAAACATTTGCATAAAGCTAATGAAACGGCATTCATAGTTTGCTACTGGCAGCTGAGTGCCACCTCACACTGATTCACAGGAGGGTTTGGACAGATAGTGACTCAAAACGACATTTTTCCTGTGGCTATGCTTTAACTTTCACACATACACACACTTGTCTCACCAGGGGCTGATCCTCATGAAGGGGATGGGGGCACAGGTGAAGAAGACTGTCATGAGGAGGAATGACTTCCTGCCCCAGATGTCTGAGAGAGCACCAATCAGAGGAGCCGATAGGAACGACAGGAAGCCCTGAAGAGGCACACAGGAAAACGTGACGAAACACTGAGGCTCTAAGCAGCCTACATGTGAAACAGTCAAAGTGCACATGAACTAATACTGTTCTACACAAAATGTGGACGACATCGCTCGCAAACTTTGTGTGTTTTTATTACTGATTAGTTATTCTGTAAGATTATTACTTAGTTACCAATTATGACCCAGAAATGTTCCAGGCATGATATTCTACAGCACAAAGAGATACTGTCAGTGCTCTCTGGTGTTTCTAAATGCATCTTTGGCATTTCTGTCCTACGTCTATGTCTGTATGACTAATATACGTTGGCTGTCTCCTGCTGGTATCTGCTGTGGTAACAGCCTAATAAGAATAATTTTTCCATATGAACGTTCATGTGCTGGTGCAGAGGTTTCACCTTCACGCCCTGAACCAGGCCATTCATCAGGAAGGTGTGCTGAGGAAACGTCTCACGGAGGACCTGAAACAACAAAAGATCATGTCTGCATCTCTTTGAAGAAACACCCACAGTGTATCCTGTTTCATATAAACCAGAGTCAGCTGAAGGACGCTGGAGGAACCGGTTTTGTGTTTATTCCAAAACACTACAGAGTCAGGCTTTTAACAAATATCTGTTCTTTAAAATCCTAATTTATTTGGATTTTGCAGCAAACACAGATCTGGCCAATAGTTATGTTATAATATAGAAAAAGAGCACAGTGTATCATAAATAGTTAAATGAGAACTTTGCCGGTTTTCAAAGAGGCTTTAATAATTACAGAGTTGGTAGTTTATCTACAGGAGGCTTATCTTACAGGAGCATTTCTGTACAAAGAAATCACCATTCATGTTCCTGCAAAAAAAAAAAAAAAAGAAAAAAAAAGCCAGAACATGTCATTTTGCAAGAATGGTGATTTCTTTGTACAGGAAGCATGAAGATGTGTGAGCTAAACCTCAAACTCTCTCATAAACTACAAACTCTATAGTTATTAAAACCTATAAAGTGGCCGACTGTCGATAAAAGAACTTCCTTGATATTTGCCTCCCTATTCTACAGTCAGCAAGTGAGCAGCATTGTTGTGTCCTTGAATATAAAATAGTGTGAAGTGCAAATTATCTGCTAAACTGTGAACACACTTCATGGTATTGAAACTGTGCAACAAATGGAACACAACAAAACATTACGCATCTGTTTTTATGGTAAAATGCACAAAATAGCTGAGCAAGACTGATATAAACCCTGCACCATTTATAGCAGCAACATCATCCTGCATATTTACAAACATTTAACCCTTTCCTCCTCTCATTTTAACTTCAGACAGTCAGTAGGAACAATTACAGCAACCGCTCATTCTTCCAGTGTCTGAAGGAGGACTCCGGAATGCAGGAGGGTCCGTTGTGAATACAGGTTAGTTTAGGTGAAAACAGCCGTGGCGCGTACACCAGCTGATGGTAAACAGGCCCACTGACATCCGGCGAGTGTTGCGGTGTGTTCACTCACAGTCAGCATGGGTGTGGTCAGCAGCCCCCAGGCGAAGAACTCCAGGAAGATCACCACCACCGCGTGAGTTACTCGCGCCCGAGCTCGGCCATGCTGCAGTGGGAACAGAGCCATATCCATTAACTATTCATCTGACCTCGACTGTATCTGTCAGCAGTTTATTCACGTGATGAGTTCATTAATATATCAGTCAGTTTCATCTCATTGGGGTGATCCAGAAATGTTTTCTATGACTGATCTCATTTTAAGATGATCTGGATAAGAGCGTTTACATTCAGATCACAGCTTAGGTGACTCAGATCTAATCTTTTTGGTCGTCTGACAGACACATGTAAACATGATCATGTAACACCCGTTCTCACCTCCCTTCACTGGCTCCTGGTTTGCTTCAGAATTGATTTTAAGCTCTTGTTGTTTGTCTTTAAAGCCTTAAATGGTCTACACCCCCTGCCCCCTGTCTCACTGAGCTGTTACATCCCTGCCGTCCAGGGAGATCTCTCAGGTCAAACCAGTTACTGTTGGAAATACCAAGAAGCTTAGGGCAGAATCACATGAGCCAACATAAAGGAACTAGCAGTGACGAAGGCCGACCTCTGCGTCGCCGCATGTCGACTTTATCTAGGCCAGCTGGGCTGAAAAGGTGACACTTGAACAGACCACATAGACGACAGCCAACATTCGACTAGGACGTAGGTTTTGTGCCTGTGTGACAGAAATAACTCCCCCTACCAGCAGGTGGCAGTATCTGTATTCACCATCCAGAAAAGGAAGGAAGAAGAGCTAGACTGTGGAAATATAAGCTATAAACAAAACAGCTGCTGTTTACAGCTGCTTCTATTCAAGAATATGTTTGATAACAAATGACGCTGCCGTTCTCTGCCCTTGCGTCGCCGCATGTCGACTTTATCTAGGCCAGCTGGGCTGAAAAGGTGACACTTGAACAGACCACATAGACGACAGCCAACATTCGACTAGGACGTAGGTTTTGTGCCTGTGTGACAGAAATAACTCCCCCTACCAGCAGGTGGCAGTATCTGTATTCACCATCCAGAAAAGGAAGGAAGAAGAGCTAGACTGTGGAAATATAAGCTATAAACAAAACAGCTGCTGTTTACAGCTGCTTCTATTCAAGAATATGTTTGATAACAAATGACGCTGCCGTTCTCTGCCCTTGGTCTTTTGGTTGTGGAAGAAGAAAGGAGGTTGTGGAGGCAAGAAACTGCATTAAATGGGTGAAACCATGGATACTACAGTGACAGGCTGGGGGGCCTCTCCCCACCCGGTCTCTTCCTTTGTTCTTGTGCAAGGATTCACTAAGCTGAGCAGCCAATCAGTGTGGTCTCTGTCCTGCTGATGAGGCCCAGTGGGCTGATTCAACATGTCAAAATGGCTATAAAGCCACCGACAAGGGCCAACTAGTACCAATAGTGTGATACACACTGGGAAGATGAGCCCCGACAGATGCTCACCAGTGGCCGACTGTTGGCTTGATGTGTCTCTGCCCTGAGGGGCAATGGAGCATTTGCAGTAGCCGGCCCGAAGCTGTGAACAGCCTTCCACTAGATATTAGATCTGCCTCTGACCTGGGAGTTTTAAATCTCTCTTGGTTTGACAGTGAGCATACACTGTGTCTGTCATGCATGGTGCAATCATTCAAAGGCCAACACCCCATACGAAATACTTTAGGAGGAAGCTTATATATTAGAAGTCACATTCAGTACACAGAGCTGCACTGTTGTAAAGTTTCTCCACGTTACACCCATGAGCAGCTAATTGTCATCAGGCGACACCCGAGTTCTCACCTTCCATTCCCCAAACATCCACAGTCAGAAGCGATAAACAACCTTAATGATTAACGATTGCCTGAAGTAAACAAGAGCTCTCTGGCTGGCAAAAGAACTAGTTAACTACAGGTCCACTCCTCTACGTTCATCTGACTTATAACACAAAGAGCTTATGAAATATGAAGCTCTGCTGTACATTAAACTACTAGAGCTGAAATGTTCTGACAATAGAAAGTTCACATACAACTATTGTGATACTTGCAGTGTTTAATTTTTAAATGAAAAATACAAAATATCTCATGTAACCAGCTGCTCACACATGTTGGATGGACAAAATAAGCACTGTGACAGCGTCACCATGGACTCGGGGTCACTGCGATGAGGAGGATATTTCATGAATTTTTTATAAACTAAACCATCACTCAGGAAAACAATCAGCACATTTATCCATGATGAACATAATCATTACCTGCAAAAGCTCCATCTCAAGTGACATTAAAATGTTGCCATTACCTTTATGTTTGAGTACTACTACTACTACTACTGTATATTATGTAACAATGACTGAGTCCATTCCCCTACATTAAATATTTTCTCTTTTAATAAGTTATGTACATTTTCCTGGTAATTTTTAGTGAGAATTTCTACACTGTGGTATTTCTATTTTAGTTCATTAATTAAAAACTGTGGTGAAAGTAACTAAGTACATTTACTCAAGTACTGTACTTAAGTACAATTTTGAGGCATCTGTACTTTGAGTATTTTCATTTTCTGTTACTTTATATTTTGGCTTCACTAGATTTCAGGGGAAAATATTGTACTATTGTACTCCACTATATTAATTTTATAACTTCAGTTGAGTTACTTTCCGTAATCAGATTAATACAAAAATACAGTATAATACCTCATCGACCTACGGTGGAAAATTCACAAGATACCCAGCAGTAATTCAAGTTAAATGCACATAAGCCAGTTAACCCTAACTCCCCCTTTAAAAGTGATGTACACAATAATGCAGTAATTATAATACAATTATATGATATATAAATATTTCTCGTGTCCAACAAACCTAGCCAATAAAGCTGATTCTGATACACAGGAATGTGAAAGGGGCCATTCTGCAGAAGTATGTTTTACTTTAATGCTTTAAGTATATGCTAATATTTTTGTACTTTTACTTGAGTAACATTTTGAAAGCAGGACTTTTCCTTGTAACTGAGTATTTTTGCACTGTTGTATTTCTACTTTTACTTAAGTAAAATATCTGAGTACTTCTTCCACCACTAACAACCTGTCTTCAAGTGACTTCTAAGTAACTGCTACTGAACCTGAGCAAAAAGACGTGACAGCTAATGTTTGGACCCGTGAAACAACGCGGTTTTAATTGGCAGTTTAACAACGCCAGTATGAGCTGACACGCTGAAGAGAGCTAGTTAGTTCCCTAAAGTTAACAAGTATGAGCTGACACGCTGAGAGCTAGTTAGTTCCCTAAAGTTAACACCAAAGACTTACCGGTTGACATCCGAGCTAACCTTCTGAATTAGCGACTAGCGGTTTTTATCTATGGTTAAAATGAACATAACTAATGTCTTACTTTTTAATGTTTGCCCATCACACCTCAGCGGCTGCAAACAGTTTTCTTTATTTTAAATTGACGTTTTCATACACAACAGCATTGGCCCACAGTGCTAACCGGGCCAGCTAACACACCACTTACCGAACTCCGGACCAACATGATGTCGTCGTTGGCCTCTGTCGCTGTTTCCACCCAGCTCATCTCACATCTTGTCATAATGATTTTCACATCAAGTCCACAATACTCTGCATCCTCCCGAGGTTTCTCCGTTTCTCCGTCTCTTCCAGTGTGTCCCGCTGTGTGATTTATAACTAGCTTTTTGCTGCGATACCATGGACTTCTACTAAAGTCGGCTCGATAACGGAGCCGTAAGGCTTGGCTTTCGTTTTTACCCAAATTCCGCTGCTCTGATTGTAGTTTGAGCTTTTCACGTTGGTTCAGTTTATCAGATTATCCCGGCTGAGCGGCGATGTCGGTCGTTTTGGTCAACTGCCACTTGAAAGGGGAAAACACCGCCCTAAGGGGCTGTACTTTACATCATATCAAACGCAAATACCTCACCGCGCCATATAAGCTGCGCCCAGACCAGTTCATATTCAAATTCAAGTCACTTCCAGCTAACATATCTGACCCTGGGTCGGTCCATACGTTAACAGTCACTCCTTATCGTTATAGCCAGTAAAAAGCGCGCCGCCTACCGTGCCTCATCCACACTACAATGCAGTAAGTGTTGAAGTGGTGTTATGAAGTGCACGATGTTGTTACATTTAGCCTCTCAGCGCACAACAAAGGTCAGATACTGCTCGTGTTGTACCACTTCTGCTTTTACAGCTCCCTCTGTGAGAAAAACAGGTCAACAGAGATTCTCAGTATTTGGCAGGAAGACCCAATAGCTAACCGCGCTGCCAACATTCTCCTGGATCACTATTTAGCACGACAAAGGCGGGACTCGGCGGTGGAAGAATTTTTGGCTTCAACACAAACCTGCACGACAACCATCGTCAAGGCAACCAGAGCGAATAATAACACTTCCGATTAGTACCTTTTAAAGTAAAAGCCTGCATAGGCGACAGACTCTTTTCAAATTTCAGTACAAGGTTAACAAAAATTTGCTTTAAAAACATTTTTAAATTCTGTGCAAATGTGATTTCGCACCGACCGACTTTGGTAAGTAATTGCATTTCTGTTTCCAAAATCAACTCCCAGTTTGTGAACATAATGTGTGTTAATAAATACAGAGGCTTCGACTATTGACATTAAATTAACTGGCTGTGATTTCCTCGCTTAATCAATGTATTGTTTGGTCTGTAAAATTTCAGAAAATAGGCAAAAATGCTGTTGAGCTGTACTGTTATACTGACAGGTCTTTTTGTTATTTTGTTCACCCAATTTAAATCAACTAGGCTAAATAGCAGAAACACCTGGACAACTCAACAGCAGCACAAACTTCAGCTTCCAAATTGATCGCGCAGATGAATCAACACATCTGAAACGGCTTGAACACAAACTGAACACGATCACCTTCATGAAGGATGATTTACTGCAGGGCTGTTGGATTACACTGACTTTGAGCTAGCTGCTCGTTAGAAACTGACTACCGAGTGTACATGTTTTTATTGTTGTTGTGCGCGTGTTTCCCATGAGCCTTTTATGCTACTCACCCAGGGGTTGTGTTTATATCTTTTCTGTTTTATACTATTTATTGAAAAACAAACAAGAATACATCAAGTTTATTCACATTTTGCGCTTTTCGTTTGAAGGTCTTGCCGCTTCGTTTCCGACCGCCCTCCATCTTGGCGCAGTTAGCTTAACGCAGAGAACCAAACGGAGGCACAGCGGATCAATTTGGAGACACGGCGGTTGATCGGGATTACGCGGTGACACTGATTGTCGTATCGGTAAGAAAACAGAGGCGTCCGGCACCGCCGACCGACCCCGTTTAGTGCTCGTTTGTCCGCTTTGATGCAGCTAGCAGCTAGTTTAGCGACTGTGCGTTTTCGCTAAGCGAGCTCCCCTCTCCCTTTGTTCACTTGCGCCTTTTCCCCCAATGCGGGTTTTGTAAATACTGGCGCAATATGGCTGCCGTCTTAGCGCTGTTAACTAAACATGTGCACGTATTTGAATATTCTGGAGTGCAATTACCAGGGCAGGTGGTCAGCTAGTGAGAGGGTAAACTGTGACCTCTGTGTGGTCATCTTCAGCCAAAACAAGCAGCAGCTCGTCACCACAACAGAAAACACATGAACGAGCCGCTGCTGTGGTGTTTAATGTGACCTGCTCATTTTAAGCTTACACACACACGTTTAGATTGTGTCAGTGAGGAGAGGTGATGAGTTGTTATTCTGCAGATCCACAAATACATAAAGAAATGCAGAGAAAAAGACTGCGCTGGTTTGTGTTGTGTTTGGGTCCAGTAAACCGGAAGAGTTGCACCAAGATAAGGGGTTAAACCAGGATTTTCCAGTAATCTCGTCTGAATTTAGCCTGACTTAGTTGCAAAAAAGCAGGTTAAATTAAACCCAGTCAAGTTACCATGGAGGTTTATTCTGTGCAGCTAAACTAGGATTTTCCAGTTATCCAGGCTGACTTTAGCCCTGAATCAGTTGCATGAAAGCAGATTAAATTGAGATGTGTTACTATAGAGATTTAATCTTTGCAGCTAGCCTGCTCCAGACCAGGCTAACAGCCTGGCTTGATTCATCCTGGTGCCTTATTGTTTTGTCAGCAGCCACTCTGATCAGAAACCAATGAATTCTTTATCAGTTAATGTGTAAAATGTCATGGTCATTGTTACTGATTGTGTTCATTTAGACTGTTGTTTATGTTATTGTTAGAAGTTTGATTCATTTTATTGTAACTATCTGGGTGATTAGAGCCAGAGAATGAAGCTGCAAAGGTGTTTTCAGTGGAGTCACTATATACTAATGTATGTGTTTTTCTTCCTTTGCAATGGCCTGTCCTTTTTTAGATGATGTCATAGGATGTATGGATTATTCCACAAAACGGTGGAAGACCTGTCACGGAGCTTATTTTTACAGACACAATAATCCTTAAAGTTTACATGATAATCACATTACTTATACTGGCTATGATGAATACACAAAGACTGTGCTTGCAATGATAAAACAAAGTTTAATTATCTGATGTTCAATATTATTATCAGCAAATAATTTAAAATGCCAAGTTCAAGAAACTGCCTTGTCCCTGAATTACTTCAGTCACATTTACATTAATATGACATACAGTAGGCTGTATTTAATAGAGCACTGAAATAAAAAAATAACTAATTATCATTAATAACATCAAAAAGATCAGTCACCCCAAAAGGTTCTGTGCGTTAGGCTCTACTTGTCGTGGATTTATGAGGTTTAGAAGTTGCTGGCAAGTTTCAGGTCTGTAAGAAGGAACATGCTGCATACTGTATTACCCAGACCCCACCGTGTGTAGAATGAACCATATTTACCCATTTAGGTCGTGGGTTAGTAGTTGTAATTCAGCTTCATGGCTTATTTCCAGAGTAACACATGGTTTCAGTTACAAACAGTGGTTCGTAAATGTATATTTTAGGCGGATTCATGTATTCAGTCTCTCTACTACTGTGCTTGTTCTCGCTGTTTTATCACAGTGGCCGTGTTTCTGGTTTTTACAGATCATGTGCTTGAATTCTCCATAAGCGTCCATGAGTGCGCATGCTCAGTGGGTCTAAAATATGCTGCGAGTGTCTTCGATGGGTGTGCTCGAAAACCAGACCAGTACGGTGTCCGTTCATTTTGACGACAATACTTACCACGCGGTGTGGAGGCACGGCCAGATGGAACGCGGCCTCTACGTCAGCATCAGTGAATCTGTGATTGATCTCATTGCCTGCTGATTAAAGTCATGAACGAATTACTTAGACCTGGCCTCACGTAGCCGCCCCTCCTCAGCCTGGCTTAGCCTTCATGAAACACATTAAGGCACTAAGCAGGCTAGGTCAAGCCTCGCTTTCTCTTGTTATCTTGGGTTTCTTAATTCTACTTGCCCCCCAAGTGTTCCTTGTCCCCTGTGTGTATCCACAGTGAGGTAAACTTGGGTGAGCCAGAGGTGGATGGGTCATCCTGCCACTGTGGTTACTGAAATGTTGTTGCTCGTGTTTGCCTGCAGTGACTTTAGACACCTGATATGTTGAGAGAAAGCAGGGTTTCTGCAGGCCTTTAAGACCTCAGGTTCTACAGAAACACCTTAGAGGATATAAAAAGTCTTACATTTCCTTCACAGGGTTGTAGATGTTTTCTCTACATACGTTCACTGTACATTTAATTTTGGTAATGATTATGGATCACCGTGCACCATAATGGAGTTAAACTAGTTAGCAGACATCCATCAGACTTGAACGTTATGTAGGCTTTATTAGTTTTTAATAGCTAGATTATTATTTTATTTGTTTGTATTATTTTTTGTTTTTATTTTAATGTGGTTGTATGTTATTTTTTAGCAAAACCTGCTAAAATCTCCAGTACTGTTGTCCATGTCTAGGCCGTGTTTACTTTGTTAACTCATAACAATATGAGCTGATGTTGTATAGTGCTGTGAGACATCAATAAATTCATGCACATTGCTGTAAGCACAGTTAACTTATGAAGTGCATGAGAAGTATGGAAAATATCAGAAAACCCGCAGTGATGTCTCATTGACCTGCGTTACTGTGACACACACCTTAGATTTCATTTTGTTCGGTATATAAATAATCCTAAACTGAATCGTGCAGAAACCCCAGAGATGAACTTTACTGTTAGGTCATCACTTATACATTGTGTGGAGACGCCGTGCGCTCACTCCCACACATTGGCTCTTGACCAGTCAGATAGATCTGGCTGTCGCTGCCCCGTCTCTCCGTTATGTTTCCTTGTATATAAGGTGTGGAGTGTGTTCGCACAGTAAAGGTTGATGTATTAACGGCCAAAACAAATGACATGTAGAGCCAGGATTGAGAAGTGGTTTGGTTTAGAGCTGAAATAACCGACCAGTCTCTGAGCAGAACCTGAATGGTTTCGATATTCACTTAATGGTTTCAGTCGTTTTTTTTTTAAAGCAAAGTCTTCAGCCATCCTCTTGTTGCAATGTGAGGGTTTTCTTCTTTTCTCCGAGCATCTTTGTATTTTGAACCAACCAAACTGAAAGTTTTTGAGTTAACTTGGATTGTGATGAGTGTTTTTCACCATTTTTCTCATTAGTCTGTGTCTCAATGCTGTGCAGTATGAAGGAGCTGGACAAGGAAATACTCAAAGTTCAAATACCTCAATACGGTACAATACATGTACTTAGTTACTTTCTGCCACTGCATTCGGCTATCACAGCAGTACAGGTCCCCAGTCGGGTCCCCGTCTGCTGTAGTGTCATGTTACTGCTTGTGCAGCTCTGTGGTTTGTGTTGCAGCTGTGTGTTGCTGTGCAGCTGCAGCTCCTCAGACCTCCTCTCCCTCTGTTCCTTTATCTCAGTACAGCTGTAAACACCAGGAGTGTGTTTCAGAAGAGGAATCATCCTGTAGTGTCCGTTGTGCAGTTGTCTGTGACCTTGTGAAACAGATCTGTGGTTATCAGGGAAGTCCGCTGCCTGTGGACTGAAGTTTGTCCTGGGTTCTGCAGACAGTTGGGGCTTATATTCACACGGTCTGTCTTGTCTTTGTTAGTGGCCCTTTTCAATGTGGAAGTGCCTGTTATTGTAATCATGAGTCACATCCTGTGTATTGGTGAAAGTCAGGAACCAGACCAGAGCCTTGTAGCCGGATTCAGGACTCTGAGTTCCCTCCACATGTCCAGCAGATCTCACTTAGCTGACGAAGACTGTGTTGGTACAACACACTCAGACGCGGCTGCAGACTCATTACCTTTTGGCAAAATTTGCCATTTTGAAAAAAAAATTCTGTCTGTGTGATCTGTGTAGATCTGATGAGGGTTTTTACTGGTGGGGATGTTTATGCTCCAGCTGGGGAGATGACAGACACACCTGCTGGACCACAGGTTTGTGATGCAGACTGAGTCTTGGTGTTGCTGTTTAAGTGAGCTGCAGAGCCTAAGTTCCCATCCCAGGCCTTAACGCTCGGACCTTTGTGTTGCTGCTTCACGTCTATGTGTGTCAGTGCCTTGTACCCAGCTCCAGGTGTGAACCTGTGCCACATATGCACAGGTTTAAGTGAAATGTGAACTGCGTGTGTACAAGAATAACAGATCGGTTCATTAGGTGTTATTGTTGTACACTTCTAAGAAGTGTTGTGAAATAAGACAGACCTGTAGGTCACATGTTTCATGTGAACTTTGGCCTTTGAGATGGTGAAACAGGATTTAAATTCCCCTTTGTCTTAAAGAAACTGTGTTAGAAATCGTTCACTATGCTCCTGTTCCTTTACCTTTTCTGATTCCGGGTTCACACGTCCTTAAAGGGGATAGAGTCATCCCTTCTGCACTTTTTCCAAAGAGATTATATGAAACATGGAATAAAGACCAACGATGAGATGCAACTCAGTTCATGTTCTTTCTATGTGTTTTCCTCCTCAGCCTGAACGCGCTGTTTCCTCATCGCCTCCATCAGCTGTGGCATCACCTCAGTCTCCAGGTGTTAGTCCGTACCCAGCCTGTATGCAGCCTGTTCAGGTCCCAGCCTAGTTCCTGGTGTTCCTCTCCTGCTGCCTCCTCCTCCCTCCTTTCCCCACTCCCTGTCCCCTCCCTCCATCCTCACCCACAGCCAGACTCCCAGCTTTTAGCCTGGACCAGTGGGCTGGCTGGCTGCCCCCCTACAGGTGGATGAATGAAGACCCCATTCAAGAGCCCAGCGGCCCCACGGCCCCGAGCAGATGGGGGTGAGTTACACTGGGTCTGATGACTGTGAGTTCAGGGGCTCGGGTCAGAGAATCTGGCTGCAGCAGGAACAGGTTTCTGCCGAGTTTCAAAGCTTTGAATTCATTTGCATAAGAGACACAAGTCTGAATATTCTTCATACTGAATATTCTTCCTGCTGTAACTTTTAAGTTTTGGTTTGAATCCACTCATAATGAAGAAATAGTTTCAGGGTCACCGTAGTGAGCGTTCTAGGACAGTAGTGACAAGGCAGTAATATCTTGGCCACGTTAACACAATGCCTTCATGACATAAGTCTAATCAAAGCTGTTCTTCCAATGCTCATCCAGCAGTTTGGCTAAACAAACCTGCTAACAGTAAGTGGAGGGCAGCACCTCCAGGTGAGTGGTCCTCTAAGGGTCACATGAAAACGAGGGATAGAAAACAGAAACGGTCTGAATCATCCTGACGACAGACACACCCATCACAAAGAGATGCAAAATGTTTTGTGTCTGTTGGCGTGGATGCTCTGTTTCAGGAGGGTGGGGGCCTTGTACTATAGTCAGCCCAGGTTGTCTCCTAATCTGTCCATGCCTGGTCCCAGATCAGCAAGAGCAAGCTATTAGATGGATGAAGCTAACAACCCATGGATCAGTGTTTCTTGTCCTTCACCTCCCAAACAGCAGCATGGTTGACCCGTCCACATCTAAAATACACACAGCTGTCTGTACTTTTCAAGGCGTTCATCCTGCACCTCTGGCTGCATTCACACAAAATCCTTCCTGTAGGGTTTTCAGAGGTTGATTAGAGTCACTAAAAGATGAACAGGCCTGTGCTGTGGTTCTACTGAGTGCCCAGTGTTAACATGTGGGACGGGGGTCTTGCCCTGTAGCAGTCACGTCACTGAAACATGGATTTGAGGATGCAGCTGGCGGTTTAGTGTGTGCATTATTCCCCACAAACCCCGTCCAGAGACCAGCAGCACCAGCGAACGTGGTGTCCTCACTGTAACGTGTGTGAGTCCAGACCCTGGTCCAGCTTGTTGGTCTGGGCCGTAGACCTGCACTGTTGTCCCCCAGCTGTCAAATCCCTTGTGTAAAACAGAACAAACCATGATGCTGAATGTGTGCGTTTGTGTTTCAGGACATTCAGGTGTTTCTACAAACATGATGAAGAAGAAGAACTCACACAAGTACGTCTGATGATCAGCAGCTCATCTGTGCTGATGCTCTCTTCTGCCTGTTTCTCATTTTATCTCAAATTGACAGATTTCATAGAAACATTTGAATTTAGCGCTTCCCTTGGTCACCTGTGTTCTCTCCTTCCTCTTTTTTCTTTATTTGGCTCCTTGCTCTCCTTTTTTATTTTGACTACCTCTTTTCTTTCCTGTGTGAATGTTTTTTATCTGGACTGCTTTCTTCATCCTTTCTTGTCTTGTCTTCCGTCTGGGGCCTCCTCCTTTCTCATTTCTGCTCCTGTACTCTCCCTCTCCTCTTCCTGCCTCCTCTCTGCAGGAAACCGAGGACCAGTGTCGGTCCCAGTAAGGCTCTGGCTCAGCCCAGGAGGAACATCGTGGGCTGCAGGATCCAGCACATCTGGAAGGAGGGCAGTAAGTTGATATCTTTTGCCTGTGTGTTTTTTTTTTTTCTTCAGCTAAATACTGCTGCACCTTAAAATATCACAAAGATGAGCAAAGATGGAGCAAAAATGAAAATGTTATTTAGCTTCTTACAAATGTTTTGTGGAAGCAGGATGTTTTTTTTGTTATAGCACTTAATCTTTTGCATTCACATTTTATACATAAAAAATAAATTGTAGTTCATGTTTTAACCTTAAACACAGAAGCAGTCGGTGGTGGTTTACTCGTCTTTCTAATGCAACCACTCAGCGTGGTTCTGATGACAACACCTTTGGTTTTTCAATAACATTATAATTGTAACAAGCGAATGTACATAATAACGGGGTTCCCACACATTCTTGAAACCTGGAATTTTTAAAACCAGTTTTCCAGTCATGGAAAACCACTTCTTCACATTTTTGTATTTTCCTTTTGCTGAGAGCAAACTGTCAGATCTCAGCATGAGCTGGCTGCTGAACGTAGGGCAGTGTGTGACATCAGCTTAGAAAGGTTGAAGTTTATGGCCTGTTTCTGTTCGCTCTGAATGCCCTCAGGCAGGTCGGTGTGAAATAAACTGGACGGATAAAATAACAGAGTAACTTGGCCACACAACCGAGAACTGGAAGTAGCTTGGTAGTTTTACCTTTAGACATGTTTAGGATTTATTGCTCCACCACTTGCAGCCGGCCAGCTGGCTTTTTAACACGACACAATCTGTAATAAGAGCTGGACACTCAGCAGGACTGAGCCCAGAGCCTTCATGACAGGACGTGGGAGGTTTGAGGGTCACTCCTCCTTTGGAAGATATAATAAGTCAAATCTTAACTCCTGAACATGAAGCCCACCTTCTGTAGGGTCGCAAGGATTTCGCTATCTGCAGTGTCCATTTCCAATAAACCTGCACAGATCCATTTAGAAATTACAGGAAAAAAGACAGAACTCTTCTTGAATGTCACTGTGTTTTTATTGTTTACTTTTTGTTGTTAGTCATGTTTGCCTCCACAGGTTTTCATTTTTTTATCCTGACCTGTGATGTAAAAGAGAGTGTGGAGAGAGAGGCAAGAAAAACTGTAGAAAGTAAAACTTACACTTTTATAACAGCCATAACGTGCCTAAGGACTAGTGGAGGTGTCATCATAGATTAACACCTATGATTTTAAAGAACCTTTCACACAGGACGTGTTCCCTGTTTGACATCACAGCCTTGGTCATTGAACGTATCCTGGAAATGTCCTGGAAAATAATTTCTTGAAAAGAGCGGGATCCCTGAATGAGTTTTCCCTCATTTTGATTGGAAATTGAATGGAACAGTTTGACCTGTCCAGGGTGGACCCCACCTCTTGCCCAGTATCAGCTGGGAGCTGGGATTGGCTCCAGGCCCCGTGACCGTAGTGGTATAGCTAGTTTTATCTATTTGGTTTTATTTTCCCACTAAATTGACTTTCAGGTTACTTCTTGATACGCACCTGCTGTTGAGGTAAAATCTGGGAGATCAACTGGGAGACATTAATTTATAAGTGTGAGTATAATCTCTGTTATGTGAGACCAAAGACAACAGAGATTATGCTCATACTTTTTAACAGCATTGCTCAGAACAAGGTGTAGTTCTAGTCCAGATGGTGCAGTGGGTTTAGTAGGAAGCGAACTAGTTAGGAGCATTTGTTGAATGTACAGCTCACATTCAGCTGCTACAACAGAAAACCAAACGCCTGAGTGTCTCTGCCTCTTTTCAGGTAAGTCGTCCCAGTGGAAGGGGACAGTCCTGGACCAGGTTCCCGTTAACCCCTCGCTGTACCTGATCAAATACGACGGCTTCGACTGCATCTACGGCCTGGAGCTGTACAGTGACGAGCGGGTGGTGGGGCTGGAGGTGCTGCCTGACAGAGTGGGTGAGGACACACGCCGCGGAGTGTAAAACCTGTTCTAACTACATCACAGCAGGTTCTAGTGGACATTGGACTCATAGTTTTGTTACAAATATTTAAATGTGCAGTAAATTCTCAGGTAGTGGTCGCAGATTTTATTGACCTCAGTGACAGAGAACCAGGCCTGTATTTGTAATTTCTCCTGGTCCCCAGGTAATAGAAACTCATCTTTAACTCCAACAGGTCAACTCAGTTTATTTCTAAGCACATTTAGAACAACAGAAGTTGACCAGAGTGCATTTAAAGAAATAAGACAAAGCAAATGCTAGCAAATCTTTTACCAAACCTCATTCTCTCTCCTCGCTATCTTCTATTCATGTTAGCAATGAGCAGAGGTCAGATACAGCTGTTGACTGAGTGAGTTTATTTCATTAAAACATCCAGAAGCAGCAGTGACTTCTAGTGTTTCCTACAGTTTGAACTGAACCCTGCTGCAACATGGCGGCAGCAGAGACCCGTTTCAGGACCAGTGCCCTGATGATGTAAACCAGGGGGGCCAATTCCAGTCCTCGAGGGCCGCTGTCCTGCTTGTTTTCCAACTGTCCCTGCCAGACCTGCTGCTGATTACCTGGCTCAGGTGTGTTCAGTCAGTCAGAAGCTGGAAGATACCAATTCACTTTATCTTTCCTCACTCCACTTTCATCTAAGATGGTATCTTAGTGTGTAAACTAACAGTTCTCTCTCTGACGGTGGTTGGTCCAGCGTCGGCCCGTGTCAGCGACTCGCTGCTGGCGGACACGATGATCGGCAAAGCGGTGGAACACATGTTTGAGACGGAGGACGGGCCGAAGGAGGAGTGGAGGGGGATGGTGCTGGCCCGGGCTCCCATCATGACCTCCTGGTTCTACATCACCTACGAGAAGGACCCGGTCCTCTACATGTACCAGCTGCTGGATGACTACAAGGAGGGAGACCTCCGCATCATGCCTGACTCCAGTGAGTGTTATCGGGCTCCGGCTGGTTCTAAATTGGTTCTGCTGGAACATCTGGTCCAGGTTTACTTTCAGACTTTGAACAAATTGTCTGCTGGTTTTAGATATGTGTTTGTTGTTTTAAATTTACTGAGCACTTTTAAAAACAGGCGCTGAGCAAAGTGCTGGACAGAGAGAAATGGAGTTACACCTGGGCAGACAGACCTTTCAAACTGTCACACGTTTGTTATTCACTTCACCTAAAGTCTGTCAGCTCATTAAATTTGTTATTATGAGAACTCAAAGCCACGTGATGTCAGCTCCTCCCCATCAGCTGCCACTTTTACAAGTGTCATGTGATGAGCATTGTCCACATTAGCATTAGTTTTACATCACACCTATCTTTGCCTCTGCAGATGACACCGTGGCGGCGGAGCGGGAGCCCGGCGAGGTGGTCGACAGTCTGGTGGGTAAACAGGTCGAGTACGCCAAAGAGGACGGCGGGAAGCGGTCAGGCATGGTTATCCACCAGGTGGAGGCCAAACCCTCTGTCTACTTCATCAAGTTCGACGACGACTTCCACATCTACGTCTACGACCTGGTCAAGACCTCTTAAGGCCAGAAGACCCGGTCCAGGACCCCCCTCCTCCAAAAAGACTTACCAAGACCTGCCTAGATCCACCAGACACCCCAGCACAGCCCCCACAGAAGAAAACCCACATCCTGTGAGAGAAGATATCAAGGACTTACCATGGGTTTGATGAAACACCTTAAAAAGGAAACAGGAACAGCCCCCCCACCCTACACATACACACAAAGAAAAACTCCAAGTCCTCAGAAGAGTCACTGAGGTGTAGCAGATCATTTGTCGTTCATCTCCTTGTCAGATTTCTGTTCAGGACGCCTCAAAAGACCCAACAGCGGAGCAAGAGCCAGAGTTGTTTGGAACATTTGTGATGATAATAAAAACATGGCAAACAAATAAACAGTCTGGTTTGGTTTAAGACCTGACTTCTACAGCCCGAGTCATACAGAGATCCACAAGGACTCGATCCTGATACCCCTGCAGACACCGCAAAAAGGTTCCAAGACTCGGAGCAGGATCTGAAAGCATTTAGGCCCCTCCCCCTTGTCTCCTGAAACCCTGTCAGATCATATGAGACCTCTGTTACCTGAGGAAGGGGCTGGACAGGTGTGAGCCTGCCAGGGTTAATAAAGGGACAGGGTTTTAGGAATCTTCCAGGATGGGCCAAACTCTCTGAACTATTGTTAGTGATTTATAGGAGGTGTAAATGAACAGGAGGAACATGTCCAATCACAGAACAATTAGCTGACCCCCTGTCACCTGTTGGCCATCAAAGACTGAAAAACTCTGAAGGACCCAGATGCAAAACCAGAGGACAGACTTTTTTTGTTTTTGTCTGTCTTTCCTTGTTGATTCCTACATGACCCATAAATGACCTCAGGAGGTTCAGTCCTCAGAGAACCCTGTACGTTTGTTTGGCTGCATCATTAGCAGTCCACCTGTACGTTGTGTTTGTTTGGCTGCATCATTAGCAGTCCTCAGCAACCCGGCTAACAGCTAGTCACAACATTCCCACCTGGAGTCACTTTAGTAGCAATGCTAATGAAGCTAACAGGCTAATTTCATTTGAATTAACAGCAAAATGTTCCCTAGTTTTTGTGAATAATCCAAACTGAGCGCGGTTATTTGTTGGTGTCTTCTGTTCTGGTGCAGCTTCAGTTTGACTGGTTTTAATGGCTGCTACTCCGGCTGATGTTTTTACATCTGTTCACCATTTTTATATTTGTGCCAAACCATTTTCAGACACATGTTCTTGAGCCTTAACAACCAGGACAATAACACCCCCAATAATTAAAAGTTTATTAAAACTTTTCATGGTCCAAAGCAAAGCAGCAAAACACAACGATGTCCTTTGGGAAATCCTCTTGTTTCTGACACTGGAGGGTTTCGGGGTGTCACTCTGTGTTAACGAATCCTGTTTAGCATTTACTTGCCTTATATAAACACGTAATAAATGTTAAAATGAATGAAAAAAATTGAACAGTGGATAAAAGAAACAAACATTAAAATTAAATCTTGAATCATAAAACCTAGTGTAAAATCCACTCAGACGGTGGCTGGAGTGTCGTGGATTTCATCATATTTTTGTTTTGTCACAGCTGCAAATGCTTTACAACACACAAGGGTGCAGTCTGCAGGTATAGGGACATTTGTGTTGATGTGAAGTTTTAGTCAACAGTTACATTTTATATTAGTACAACAGTGTTTTTAATATTGTCACTGACCTTGTGTTTTGTGTGCAGCCCAAACAGAAACACTAATTGACTCGTGTCCTTGCATCTGCTTCCAACTATACTGTAGCGTGTTGCGAACGTGTTCTGCTGCTGACTGTCTAATTGGGGTTACAATAAAAACCACGTGTTTGTGTTATCTCGGAGCAGAGGCCGGCTGTCGTTCATGTGCACATTCTCATCAGACTTTGAGTAAAGTAACCACAGAGGATTTCCCAAAAACATCAGACTGTCCCTCACACAGCTGATCGATCATTTAGAAAACGATCGATCATGAAAGTAAAACCAAACTGCTGGTGCAGAAAACAAACACGTCGCTGAACCTGAGGCTTCGGTGACTAGATGGACCCCCATCCCCGTGTACTTACAGAAACCGGCCTCCTGTCGTAGTTTACGGTTCTTCTGTTCTCATATTGACGAGCTGTGTCGTCACTTTTGTTTCCCCATGCACATCAGCTGCACGTGCACATCCCTGTTCACCCTCTGTTTCCTTGTGTTCTGTGGAAAGTGGATTACCCCATCAGCAGCTGTTTTTCAAATTGAGCTTCATTCAGAAAGACTGTTTGTTTTGTTTTTTGACACCAAACAACTGAAGCGTAAACAACCATGTTGCCTGATCCACGTCTCATATGCCTGAAGGGACTTGGACATCTGACGCTAAATGATAGAAAGAAGCTGAAGTTTCTTTAGGTTTCCAGACCAGTGGGTTTTCACTCTGGGTCCCAGCTGATTTGAACTCTAGAGCGTTCCCGGTCAGGGTCCGCGCTGCAGGGTCTGGACACACTTGGCTCAGCTGTGGACATCAGTGGTCCTGGTCCTAGAGTCTGGAGTTTGATCACCTGTAGTAACATGGTCCATCACAGCTTGCAGATTTAAAACCCACCCGTTCTACACAGTGTGTAGTCGGGGCTCCAGGACATGGTGTTCACGTCTGGCCCCTGTGTGGGCCCCTCCCACTGTGGCTGAAACCACATCCGTTTCCAAGGGGGTGATGTCAGAGCAGCTGCAGCCAGACGATGAACGGGGGCCGATGTCCGTTCTACGTGATGGTTAACCAATAGCACTGATCCCACAGAACAAGTCGACAGAGCGAACAGCAGTGCTGTTCAGTTTGCCTTGGATCTCCATGTTGTGAGCTGTTCAAATTGTTCTTTGGAATCAATCAATTTTAGAGCTGTACAGTGAGTGGGTCAATCCTTTGGACAGACAACGGCTCCAGCTTCAGAACTGGGAAAACTTGCTGCTTTTTCTACTTGTACATTCTAGTGAATTGAATATTTTGTGGTTTCGTGGCTGATGGTCGCACAAACAAGACATTTGATGGCAGCAATGTGGGCTCTAAGAGACTGTTGTGTATTTTCCACTGTTTTCCGACACTGTACATTGACTAATCAAAATAACTGGCAGATCAATCAGCCGTAATCATTTTGTGATTAAAAAGAAAACAAACGCTGACCAAGAAGAACATCCATGATCTTGTGTGGTTTGGCGTTGAGTGAGGAATATTTCCAGTTAAGACGTTCCTGATCTGGCCCCAGCTTTTGTTCTGGAGGACTCTGCGAGCCTTGCTCCTCTGTCTCTGGTTCTCTGTCTAGTTTCTGTCGTTACATCCGGGGTCCTCGACCCAACTCGTCTGCTGAAGCAGAGGGATCGGCCAGTGGGGGCTGATTTCCACTGCTCTTTTCTTAAAGGACACAGCCGGTGGTTTTGTCCAACAAATCCCATCCAGAGAGTAACAACACCACTGGGTGTAGTTGATCTGGTGGAGTAACCAGAGCTGTACACAGTGACGGCCATTCTCAGCCTGTGGAGCTGTTCTGTATTCGCACGTTATGGTGAGGACACCACACTCTCTGTTGCTGTTGGTCTCTGGACGGGCTTTGTGGGACAAAACCGGACAAATCCACTGGCTGTGTTGTCTCCCCTCCCCACAGTGCAGGCGTCCTCAGGCTGATGGACCACAGGGTGTTTGGGCCGTACTGGTGGGGAACCAGTGTCTGGGTGGATCTTTAGCTTCCAGGATGTGGACTTCAGTAGTCGTCCGATCAGGAGCCAACTCGCTGTGTAATATTTTACAGAGAAACATTTATTGTAGTGTGTGTTTGGATGGATGTGAGTGTGTGTGTGTGTGTGTGTGTGCTGTCATTCAGCCCCTGTTCAGAGCAGTGTTGTTTTTGCATGCCTATATACAGCTCAGCGTAAATCGATGTGAGTTGCATGTCCTGTAGTTTTCAGTTGTTCAGCTGAAATCTGTCCGCTGTGGCTTTGGGTGCCTTTGCTTTAATTTCTCTTGTTTGCTTTGCCTTTTTGTACCTCGTGGCTCCGAAGCTGGTTTTGGTGGGGTTACTGAGCAAAATAAAAACAAAGCTGTCCCTCGACAAACAGCTGTGACCACAGAGGTAATGATGGGTGGGAATTCTGCTTTTGTTTTGGATGGATTGTCCCTTTACAGAGTGCCAACTACAGACGCCAGTGTTGTACAGCAGTGAGAAGCTCACACTGTTTACTAAAATAAACCATTTCTCTGTTTTTCACTGATGAGTCTCGGTCCTGTCTGTTCTCTCCTCCAACACAAACACAGGTCAACAGACGGCTTCAACCAGACTTAGAATGTCACCTGTCTGGTTGTAGTGCCCCAGTGCATTCTGGGAGGATTCCCAGCATACCTTACTCATGTACCTGCAGTCACGTGATCAGCGCTTAGCCCTTTATATAAATGTTGATCATGGCTTTACTTATGTTGTCTTTAGTTCACATTCACTGTTCACTGTGTGATGTGAGGGTGTGTCGCAGAACTGGTCAATAAACACGGTAGAAGATTTTTATTTTATTATTTTAAAGTTTATTAAACTGTTATGTACAAACAGCATGGCTGTAACAAGATTACGTGTTATAATAGGGAGACAGTGCATATACATAATAGGCAAAGAAAAGAAAAAGGAAACAATATGTACAGTGCCTTGCGAAAGTATTCGGCCCCCTTGAACTTTGCGACCTTTTGCCACATTTCAGGCTTCAAACATAAAGATATAAAACTGTAATTTTTTGTGAAGAATCAACAACAAGTGGGACACAATCATGAAGTAGAACGAAATTTATTGGATATTTCAAACTTTTTTAACAAATAAAAAAACTGAAAAATTGGGCGTGCAAAATTATTCAGCCCCCTTAAGTTAATACTTGGTAGCGCCACCTTTTGCTGCGATTACAGCTGTAAGTCACTTGGGGTATGTCTCTATCAGTTTTGCACATCGAGAGACTGAAATTTTTGCCCATGCCTCCTTGCAAAACAGCTCGAGCTCAGTGAGGTTGGATGGAGAGCATTTGTGAACAGCAGTTTTCAGTTCTTTCCACAGATTCTCGATTGGATTCAGGTCTGGACTTTGACTTGGCCATTCTAACACCTGGATATGTTTATTTGGGAACCATTCCATTGTAGATTTTGCTTTATGTTTTGGATCATTGTCTTGTTGGAAGACAAATCTCCATCCCAGTCTCAGGTCTTTTGCAGACTCCATCAGGTTTCCTTCCAGAATGGTCCTGTATTTGGCTCCATCCATCTTCCCATCAATTTTAACCATCTTCCCTGTCCCTGCTGAAGAAAAGCAGGCCCAAACCAGGATGCTGCCACCACCATGTTTGACAATGGGGATGGTGTGTTCAGGGTGATGAGCTGTGTTGCTTTTACGCCAAACATAACGTTTTGCATTGTTGCCAAAAAGTTCGATTTTGGTTTCATCTGACCAGAGCACCTTCTTCCACATGTTTGGTGTGTCTCCCAGGTGGCTTGTGGCAAACTTTAAACGACACTTTTTATGGATATCTTTAAGAAATGGCTTTCTTCTTGCCACTCTTCCATAAAGGCCAGATTTGTGCAGTATACGACTGATTGTTGTCCTATGGACAGAGTCTCCCACCTCAGCTGTAGATCTCTGCAGTTCATCCAGAGTGATCATGGGCCTCTTGGCTGCATCTCTGATCAGTCTTCTCCTTGTATGAGCTGAAAGTTTAGAGGGACGGCCAGGTCTTGGTAGATTTGCAGTGGTCTGATACTCCTTCCATTTCAATATTATCGCTTGCACAGTGCTCCTTGGGATGTTTAAAGCTTGGGAAATCTTTTTGTATCCAAATCCGGCTTTAAACTTCTCCACAACAGTATCTCGGACCTGCCTGGTGTGTTCCTTGTTCTTCATGATGCTCTCTGCGCTTTAAACAGACCTCTGAGACTATCACAGTGCAGGTGCATTTATACGGAGACTTGATTACACACAGGTGGATTCTATTTATCATCATTAGTCATTTAGGTCAACATTGGATCATTCAGAGATCCTCACTGAACTTCTGGAGAGAGTTTGCTGCACTGAAAGTAAAGGGGCTGAATAATTTTGCACGCCCAATTATTCAGTTTTTTATTTGTTAAAAAAGTTTGAAATATCCAATAAATTTCGTTCCACTTCATGATTGTGTCCCACTTGTTGTTGATTCTTCACAAAAAATTACAGTTTTATATCTTTATGTTTGAAGCCTGAAATGTGGCAAAAGGTCGCAAAGTTCAAGGGGGCCGAATACTTTCGCAAGGCACTGTATATGAAAATAAAAGCATAATATGGTAGTATGAACTTTATATCCAACTATCACAAGGTGGGGTTTCCCTTCGCAGCACCAGATGGCGCTGTTGCTTCATTCAACAGCTCCACTCCCACAATGCATCGCTCTAGGAGAGACCTCAAATCTTTGTTTTCGCAGCTGCACCTTATAAATCAGAAATGGTTTGATGTTGTTAGATTCCGCGATGGGCAATTTGATTCATCGTCACGGGGAGACAGAAGTGCTAAATGTTGGGTGGTGATCACTGACACCGTCAGTCAGAGAGCTGGAGCGGCGGTACATACACGACAGCGCCGACCAGTAACTCTGATCCTTCGGTTCATGCAAATGATGATTGGTGTATTCACGGTGTCTCCGTGATAGGTGCGACCTTACTTGTTACGCACGCGCCTCAGCCGTTCTGATCCTGAACCTACCAGCAGCATCGTTACTGTTAATATAACTAAAAGTTTTAACATCTAGTGACAGACCACAAAGAAAAAAAAGAATATAAAATGGTCAGAAAATATAAATATATGCATCCCTCCTGTCCCACATGTGAGTGGAGGTCAGATACACTATGTGGTGGTGAAAATGGTCAAACTTAGAAAATCCATGACAAAATCGTGCTGTATCACAAATTGGGCGACTGCATTCAATCTTTTAAAAAGATCAAATGTTATACTTGCAAATAATAATAATTAGACTTAATACATTAACAGTTATAAACGATAATTTAATTATAACAATATATTAAATACATTTCTTTTACAGCTGTAGCACGAATGCTTCCCAGATAAAACTGTGTTATTAAAAATAAATGAAACGTCCTTCAAAATAATCCCACACTCTCACACACACAATTTTAAGTAATTGTTATTAAATTTGTATTGTGTATATTTTCCTAAATACACATGGGGAACTGGATCTTGCTTATTTTTGTTGTCAATTTATATTTAACTCAGTTTCTGTCTGCTCATCAGTATTTTAAGGCTGAACATAGGACACTTGGTAAGATTTAAAATATCGCGATACTTCCTAACTTTGACTCTTGAGTCTGAGGTTTCCTCCATCTAGGCAAACAAAGATGGTGGCTCCCTGATTGTGCATGTGGTTTCGAAGACGGAAAAACTATTTCATAACTGTACAGAACATTTATTAAGCATCATTAAGTCAAACAGTAGTGTCTGTGTTGAAGCTGTGAGCAGGTCTCTGAAGAACTAAAATGCAACACGACGACGTAAGTGTGATAAATTATTATGAAGCTGCTATTGTGCTCTGCTATGTCCTTATGCTAATATTAGCTTAACGGTAGCGGTTTAATGTTAAATCTAGGTTATTTGTTATTGTTTATCTTTACCGATTACATACGGATAAAGGGTAGTGTTAAAACAACACTTGAGACACTTCTTGGTTTAACCAGTCTGTACTTGTCTAACATCACGCCAAGCTTCACTGTATAAATTTCTTTTTTACGCTTATCAGACTTCTGTGGGGACATAAGCAGCAGCAAATACACGAGTCAAAGCACAGAGTTGTAGGGTGTGGTGTGAACCCAATTTCGGCAACAATTAGCCATTGCAATCCAACTAATATTATACGATGTCATTACATGTATGTAAAACGAGGAGATGCACCATTCAGTTTTAACTGGGTTGATGCTTTTAACGTGTTAAATCTGCCTCCTGCAGGTGATCTGGGACATTATTGGGAACACACAGTTCTGCTCCTTCAAAGTCAAGTAAGTTTGGAACTGAGTCTGCTCTTTCCACAATGCTTTGCTGTATAAGTCTGAAGACTGTGATAATAAGGACAGGTCAGGGTGAATAACTGCTTAGTGTAAAGCATATACAAAAATAATAGAACTAAAATGAATCATAAGTTACTTTGCTAATTAAATAACCAAATTGTTCATTTTAAATCCCAAATGTGAAATATGTGCTGTTTCTAACGTCTCGGATGATTTGATGCTTTTCTTTGTCACACATAACACTAAACTCATTATCTGTCGTTATGGACTGTCGGTTGGTCAAAACGACATTTGTAGGTGTCACCTTGGCTAGTGGGATGTCACAATCACTATTTTCACAATTTTCTGACATTTTACAATAATATATTAATATAATAATAACAATAAATCATTGATAATGGCGGTAATGGATACACATCAGTTTAACAATACAAACAGGAATGTGATTATTATTCGGTTAAAGTAACAGAACAAGAAGCCTAGAGCTGGTGATTGATTTCTTGTCTCTGGGCAGTTAGCATTGCATATCCATCACCAGTCGACTGTGGTCACGGCCTGGGTTTTAGAACAAAGACTTCTTGTCAGAACCAGTGAGCAGCTGTGCATATTTGTGTTTTCGATAGTTTTATGTGTGTAAATAAATTGTCTTTGTGTACTTCTGTGAGGACACTCACCAGCCTCGTGTCCTGTTTATTGGGATAATGAATCCGATGTTTTAACTTGATTTAAAAGCCTAACGGGGGGGGGTTCAGCCAGACCTCCACAATGCATGACATCAGCTGCACTGATTGTCAGTGTGTGGCAGCGTTTCTTTATTTGTACAACAAACAGAGCAGAGGGTTGATGTGTTAAGTTCAGGTGACATCTTTTCTTTTTTTGTCATTCCCCCATTCAGGACGAAGAGTCAGAACTTCTGTCGTAATGAATACAGCATCACGGGGCTGTGCAACCGCTCATCCTGCCCGCTGGCCAACAGCCAGTACGCCACCATCAGAGAGGAGAAAGGTGAAACCTCCATGTGCTCACATCAGCCTGGAAACGTGGTGGAGAGCCCGGGTCAAATCTCAGAAGGGAGCACAGCGCGTTTCCAGCTTGTTTGATTTAGATGTTGCTTTCTGACTACAGCATGTTTTGGTCACAGTGTCCGATTACGACCATCAGCTAAACCATCACAAACAGAGAAGAACTGTCATTTAGGATGTGGAAAATGTGATGCTTTTAAATCAAATGAAAGGCAGGCGGTTTAATCCAAAAGGAACAAATCCGGGGAAGGAATAATTACAGTAGTGAATGAGAACGTTAATGCTGATGTTGTCTTCTCAGGTCAGTGTTTCCTCTATATGAAGGTGATCGAGAGAGCAGCGTTTCCCAGCAGGATGTGGGAGAAGGTGAGTAGCTCGTAGCTTGTGACCGTTCAACAGTTAATGTTGATTCTGTTTGTCCGTTAACTTTAATTTTTATCAAAAATAGAACCTGTTCCAGTTATTTAATGCTAACAAATACAAGTGAAGACCAGCAGTGAGGTCAGAAAATGTCCAGAGCTTGATAAATGTCCTGACTGTGTGTGTTTGTGCAGGTGAAACTTAGTAAAAACTATGAGAAAGCTCTGGAACAGATCGACGAGAATCTGATTTACTGGCCTCGGTTCATCAGACACAAATGTAAACAGAGATTCACCAAAATCACCCAGTACCTGATCCGCATGCGCAAGCTGGTCCTCAAGAGACAGTAAGTACTGCGTTAACATACTGCATGAAGTGAAGCTCGCAGGAATCCGGCAGCGAGCATGTGAGATGCTACCTCGGTTTAACATGTGAATGTTTGTCTCTGTCCAGGAGGAAGCTGGTTCCTCTCAGCAGGTAGGTGGAGCAGAGAGAGAAGAGGAAAGAAGTGAGTTAGCAGCACAGCCTTCTGAGTCTTGACTTCACACATGGACGAGGACAGTGTTTACCCTTCGTGTGATTAGACTCAGACACCGAAGCTGTATTAACCTGTTGTTTGTCCTCTTCCTGTTGCTGTTTGCAGGAGAAGGCTCTGATTGCTGCTCAGCTGGATAACGCCATTGAGAAGGAGCTACTGGAGAGACTCAAACAGGGAACGGTACGACGCCTCACACACATTGCCACCTGCGCTCGGGTTCAGTGGTGCCACATACGGATGGCTTCGCAGAACTGGTTTCCTTCTGGATCCAGGCTCCAGTTGCACAGACTGATTAGGTTCTGACCCTTACCAGTGCAGGTTTAGAAAATTCTTAAAAAGCACTGAATTCACTTCCCTCAAAAGGTATAAAAAAGTTTTTAATTTCTTTTACAGAGCTCTTGAATATTTTTGTACTTGCTGTAGTTGGTAGCATCAGTTAAAAGACACACCAGTGATTTTATATGTTGGTGTCATTCCCCCACCAACCCTGTCCAGAGACCAGCACCAGTGAACATGGTGTCCTCGCCGTGATGTGTGTGAGTCCAGGCCCTGGTCCAGCTTATTGTTCTGTGCCGTTAATAACCTGTGGCATTGTGTGTTTGCAGTACGGAGACATCTACAACTTCCCGATCCACGCCTTTGACAAAGCTCTGGAGCAGCAGGATGAAGAGAGCGAGTCGGAGGAGGAGGAGGAAGATGAGGAGGTGATGCTGAAGTTCTCGTAACATTTGGTTTACTAAATAAAAGTAGTAACGCTGCACTGAAATACAGGAATACTTTTACACGTCCTGCATTCAGAATGTTACTTAAGTAACATTACAGTATTGCCAGCAAACTTTCTGTAACATGTTCAGTTTAATCAGCAAAAACAAAAGAAAAACTTTATTCAGCATGTTTTACTTCAAACCACTGCAGCGCCTGTAGTTTGGAACAACACGGCACAGGCTGGAATCTTTTTTTACTTTTAATAATTATATTAAAGTGGATGTGGTACTTTCAATACAGAGTGCTTTATATAGTTAAACCAGGATGAACCAGGACTGCAGTGATCATTTAAAGTCCCCATGGCTGCTCATTTTGCTCGTTTCCAACCATTTCATGTTTAGTCTTGGATACCTCTAGATTAGCGTGGCACGCCTCATAACTCCAAATAGTCTGTCATTTTTTCAGAAAAAAAAAAAACAGAGAGCCTCTTCCTAAAAATGATAGCACAGTTTATGAATGCGCACAACTCCTTAATCCGCTTGTTAACCAGTGGATTACACACATCACATGCAGCAGACACACTGGCTTCACTGGCGGCTGCTTGTAGGTTAGACCAGTCGGTAAAACAGTGAGTCCCTGTACAGGAACATTCCCAGACATGCAGTAACCTCAGGCCCTGTATCTTTCTCCACATCCTCTGGTCACAGTGCAGCAGCAGGAGGGAAAATATCTCCACCAAACCGGACAGAGTTGAAAAATTCAGCCTTTACAGTGGCACCATGGATGTCTTTTTGTTTTGTTGTTGTTTACATAAGCTTTATTGAAAATACACATAACAAGCAAAGCAATGTAACATTTTGCCAATATAGTGGAGGCACAGGTGGATGTCAGGCAAGCTCACATGAATGTGCAAGGTCTGGACTTTATGCCCATTCAAGGAAATCCTTAAACTATCACTTTATTTTGTTAGAAGAAAATCTCACGAGTGAGAATTTGTGAGACGTGTATAAACCAAGTTACTTCTACATAGAAATATTAGAACATAGGTTCACCTCGTTTTTTGGCCTTTATGTCACGTCTAAGATGATAATTCACTGTTGTAACTTTGTAGATAAGTCAGAAAACAAGGAAAAGCACCGTGGGCTCTTTAAATAAAATGAAACCAGTGTGTTGTTGCCCGTACACAACATGTATCAGTTAGAGGCTGAAATGACTCTAAGCTGCAGATGTTTCTGGAAGTGATGGCATTTGTGTGTCTGCAGGATGTCGGGAGGAGAGTGTTTGTCACAGAAGAAGAAGTGGATGAGAGCGACCTGAGTGATTTTGAGGTAAATCCTCTAGGAGCGTCAGACTGTTTAAAACCAGTGTAAATCACTGAGCACAGATGTAACTGAAATGCGAGTCACATGTGAACAGGGTCATTTCCTCCCAGACTGCTGGGTTACGATATGTTTTTCCAGTTTGGCCTGATCAGAAGCTTCTCCATAAATGTCCACCGCATGTAGCGTGTCAGGTGTGAACGTAGTCTAGGTTTAGTTTAATAAATGTAGTTAATGAAAATGATGATGAAAGAGAAGACAAACGGTGCAGTTTAAAGGTAATCATTGATAAACAAGAAAAACAAGCGTGAATGTTTTAATTTAAAAAGTTTTTGTTTTCTCTCCCAGGACATGAACAAGCTGAAGACGAGCAGCGACGAGGAGGATGAGAATGAGGAACAGTCAAGTGATGAAGAAGAGATGGAGGTGGAGATGAAGATCTCCAAGTCTAAGGGCAAATCTCCGGCAAATGGTTCGGTGGCGAGGAAAAAGCGAGCGTATGTGGAGATCGAGTACGAGCAGGAGACAGAGCCCGCCCCCAAGAGCAGAGCCACGTAATGATGTCACAGACCCTCAGCTATCAGTCAAACTGAGACTCTGCTGCTGTCCCTGAATGCCACACGGTGCGTTCACTAACCCGCAGTGTTCTGTTCATTATTGAGGCTCCTCACAGGACATGGAACCTCTGACTCTGTTCATGTTGGTGGTTTCACTGCTCTGGGTGTGTAAGGGTTCGCTCAGGCCTCAGGTACTGAAGAGTCCTGAACCATTTCTAGTTTCAGGGCTCTAATTCACAAAGATGAACCTTTTCAAATATCATCCATCGACCAGTTGTTTCAGCTCCACTTGTACACTGATGTACAACTCAGTGCATCCAGCACAACATCCGTCTTTCTGCAGTTCATTGTTTCAGATTTTGCTGAAGTGTCAGAAATGTAATTTTGGACATTTATTAATTCAATGTTATGTTATATTTAAAGGTATTCCTAATATTCTGACCCCCCTCATATATGTAAATGGGAGGATAAATCCAAATCCATAGATGGGTTTGAATGTAATGCAGTGCAGTAGAACCCCAGTTCTAACCAAGACTTCAATAATAAACACAGTTGGTTTTATACATTTCTGCATTTACTGGTAAATTATAACAAAGCATCACATTCTCTTCATTTTAGTGCACAAACATTTTATACTCTGAAAATGAAGTTGTTAGATAACTAGTTTACCAAATTCACCAGATTTTCTGTTTCATGTGGTATCATAGTAGTAAAATATTTTTTCTATATTTCTGCATTATTTATGCACATTCTGTAAAAATTAGCTAAGAGCTGTTAGCTAGTCATAGCGCCTTATAATTTGTGATTTACAAAAAATCTACTTTAATGAATTTCGAGTAATGATTAGTTTTATATTCTGTGTATTAATACATAAAACTCTCGGGACATTGGTGTGATATCGTCTGGCAGGGCGGAGGAGGAGAAGAAGAAGAAGAAGGTGTCCCGCCTTCTGTTTCTTCTCTGACTGGCGTACTCTGTGCTTAAATGAAGCGCACCGGCTGGTTCCTGTGAAGCGGCCATATGGCTGCGTGGTTTATGGATAGATCGTATAAAAAGCTCTCTATTTGGTTTACGGTACAAATAGAGCTGTGTCGCTAGTGGCTGTCTTCAGCACATATTCAACCACAACATGGCTCATCTAACTGAAAACCCCGCGGATAAAGAGAGGTGAGTGTATAAAGGGTAGCCTGTTAGCCGAGCTAAGCTAAAGCTAACAGTGCTTAGCCTTAACATTGTAAAAGTCCTATAGAAGAGTTTTGAAATTAAGGACATCTTAGGTAGCTGCTAATGTATCTTGCCTGCTTATTGATACTGTAGTCAACATGTCTATTCACAAAAGGCCGTTCTTCAATTCGGTATACGTTCTGTTTTCATCTTTTAATCCACGAAAAAAATACTTTTGTTGGCAAGGTTTAAGACAACCCCCAAACGCTGTAACGTTAATGTTAGAGAAATGATGGGTTTTGTAAGAAGCTAGCTGTTGAGAAAACCGAGTTAAATGTTTGTCTTAATCCAACCTGTTTACAACGATACCACCGTAGAATTGGCGTTTCTAAGGAACATGTGAGCGATGATAAAATTGCTTAGTTTGTACATGAAGTTTGGCCTGTCATTCTATCTACACCACAGAGAAGCACAGTGATCCTTTAGCATGACGTGTTAAAGTCCTTTACCCGCACATTTGTTCTAAACACGATGGCAGACAAATGGTTTTCTCGGTCACTTTATGAGAAATTGAGATTTGCTCGGAGCTTAACTAATTTCTCAGTCATTTGTCACGTGATAGTTTTCTAGTCATTCATTCACACCAGTGATTTATTCAGAAGGTGAAGGTGTGAAAGAGCTTTATAGATATTCAGTGTCTGAATCACCCTGCAGCTGGTAACACAGGCTTCACTGATGCAGTCTTCTTCATTAATTGTTGGGTTAAGAAAACTTCAGAAAATGTTAAATTAATGTTAAAATAATGCACGTGACTGTGAATTCCCTGTAGCCCTTGATTGACTGTATGATCAGCAGTGGATAATGAAAATATTTGCACCCCTAATAGCACAGATAATAGAAAAGGCTTGAGCTGCACAATGCAGCAATCTGTACAGCCAAGATCACGTTGTATGATACAGGTTTTCTCAGAGCCCGGTTTCCGAGCAGCTTGTCCACTGTTGTTGGACCTCGTTTGTCTTTCTGAACAACATCCCTGCAGTGAGTCAGTCTGCGTCCGTTTTGTGTTTCAGGTTCATCTGCCTCTACCCAGTCTACATCAACAGTAAGAAGACGCTGGCTGAAGGGCGACGCATACCCACAGAGAAGGTGACGCTTCTCACTTTCTACTGATGTTCTGCTCTCATGCTTCACCATCAGGTTTTGTACTGGTCTATTACTCTCCCAGCAGCAGTGAGAGGATGCCCGTCAAATGTTTGGTGACTCAGAGCCAAACTGTAGAGACCTGACTTAGGAACGGTTGTAGTTTGATAGAACTGGAGAAATCAGAATTATACACATTAAATGGTCTCGTTTCACCTTCGAGCCGAAGTTGGACACATCAGAATTAGATAGCTGCTCCAGTTTCTGATCATTTCAGGTTTATCAAGCCATTCATGGAATATTTGTTGTGAATGGGGAAAATGCAGTGAAGTTATTCTTTAGTGTGGACAGTGAACACAGTCGGTGTATGTGGTCTGTGGCTGAGGGGAAAAAAGGCTTCAGTGTGAATCACCTACATAAAGTAGACTCCACCTCTGTGTGTGTGTGTGTGTGTGTTCTTATGCACCCCCCCCCCCCAACTCCTT